GATAATATAATCAAATAAAAGCTAAAAAGTCCATTGGAAAGACCTTCATACTGGACATTAAAAGCACCAGTCCAGTGCTAATGTGCGGTTGAAGGTGTGCTTGTGTTTTTCTGGAGAACGCTTACTGGCCTATCTGGGTGCCAGAGTCTGGCTGTATCATGGACCCGAAAGCACAGAGGTGATTCCACCTCTCCAGAAGCTGCTACTCAGTCCTATGACAGTGATGCCTCAGAAACCACACAACTGATGGAAAAGGATGAAACTAAAATGAACCTTAACTGACCTAGGATGCTCAGGAGATGGTATCCAAAAAAAAACCTAAAGGTCTAAATAGGTGTTGAGTGTATAAAGATCACCAAACTGAAACTTTAATGAAAGAAAGGGACAAACGAGTTACTAGTATTCTAAAGATAAAATATAAAAATGTTAATTATCGATAAGATTTTGTCTTTTCTCAATCCTTTTAAATGTGAGTTCTCTGCTAATTGACCTATAAAAATTGGACTAGTCAATTTATAGTTACAAATTCTAAAATTGTAAGCAATTATTGTAATTCAATTTGGCTAAAAATATATTTGCATTTTGATGTGTAAGATGTTTGTCAGTCTGTCTGTGTATCTGTTGTCTGTTCACCCAGTCTACTTAAGGAGTTGTTGGGAGTCAAATGAACTAGTGATCATTCATGCATATGGAGTCCAAGCACAAGTGCCATACAGGAGTGCCCAAGTGGCACAGAGCACCTGACAAGTGCCCTGAGGGCACGGGGTGATAGAGGTGAACAGGTGCTCCAACACTGAGAACACAGCGTGTAAGAAGTGAGCCAGCTCATCAAGGGGGCATGATACAAGTATATAAATAGCCCCTGAGGAACTTAGAGGGCTTGCACAGACCGCAACAAATTGTGTGCCTGTTTCTGTGTTTGTTGAATCTGTACAAATCGTTTATGAAATCGTCTATCCATGTTTGTCCATTTGTACACTCTGTAAACAGCTGTTCCTTTTATTTTGAGCTCAACAATTTTTTTCCTTTTTCTTTTGAATTTTTGGATCACTTGACCAAAAGTTGACTGGAGTTAGAGATTTACAAAGCTTAGGTTGCCACCTGGTCCAAATAACCCAAAGACCGGAAATACAAATGTAATATAAATTGTTGTTTATTATGGATTTCAGAGCCCCATTGTTTAAAAAATTAATGGGTTAAATGTTATGATTGGGTTTTTCATCAGTCATCAAAAATAAAAATAAATAAATGAAATGAATAAAAATAAAAACTATATTTTATTAAGATGAGTAAACAAAATCCCTTGGGGTTGGGATTATTGGATAGGACTCTGACTGACAAATAAGAAAGCAGCTGCCTGTTAACTTTTTTAACTAGCTCTTGTTTATTGAGCGGAGGCCCGAGTGATCCACAGCCTTATGGGAGACAGCCCGACTAAAGTTATATAAAATATATTATTATAATATGTTAACATTGATCATCATCAAAAGAAATAGTACAGTAGGGTCTCTGATTTTAAAATGTTCAGACACAAAAGTTTCATATGGCTGTGACAGACTGTTATTAGCCCCATGGTATATTAATGTATGCAGCCTCCCATATATGCAGGTTTTCCAAAATGTAAAACGGGTTATTTGTGGTAACAAAATTTTGTTTCATATTCAAACCTTTGCAGGTACCAAAAACTTAAGAGGTTCACATTCCACTAAAAGTCAGTAAGTTAGGTCAAAGCGTTCATGTTTTAGGTAGGGATGACTGACTAAAAGGGGAACTTTATGTCAAAATAAAAGTTCAGATATATTGCAAAATGTCACGATAATAATGTTATATGTGGTTTTGGCTTCTGATTTTCTGTGTAAAATATATAACTGTTAACATTGTATACATATTCAAATGTTGAAATATCCATGGATAATAGAAACTAAGTTTCATTTAATGTTCTAAGGTGTTTCATATTTAGCTAAGACAGCAATGTTAAGCTCACTGCCTTTGATACACTATATTGTTATCAATCTTTTCTTCTGGATGTTCAACAACTAAGAGACCAAAAATCAGAGACAGATGGACTAAGAAGACAGCCAATGTTTTGGTCCCAGCTCTTCAAAGTCAATGAGGACCCAGGACACAAAACCACCTCTGCTTGTGTCATCCACAGATACTCAGTGAGTCCCTGGTGTTTTGGTCAAGAAGATTATGAGAACACAGAGTAAAACAGTCTTGGATGAATGGTGTGCCTAAGGAGAGTCACCAGGAGAAAAAAAATCTCCCAAGCTTTCATGTAAAGCACCTATATGATTATACAGAGAGAGGAGGAAACAGTAAGTAGAAAAAAGCTAACAAGAGGCTCTGGAGGTCTGTTAATAATCTCCCTGTTTCTTGAGTTGGGCACTACTGACATAGGTGCGCTCACTTTGTGATGATTTGTGGTTTGGACACCTTTATGTGAACATGTCACATTTCAAAAAACTCATGCTTAAAATGTTCTGGCTGCATTATTAAAAGACTACATTTTTTCCCCACATAATGATCAGATGTAGTGGCACACACTTGAAATCTCAGCACTATGAAGATAAACAGGCATATGGTTTGCAAGAGTGTTAACTGTCTTTTTCTTCCTTAATTTCCTAACTGCATTTTTAGATTATGTAATTATTTTTCTGCTTTCCATACACAAACATACAAATTATTCTGCAATAAATTTCACCTAGTGGCTGATTAACTTAAAAAGAGAGTATTTTTTAAAAAAGTATTCAAAGGCAGACACCTAGGAAAACAAGACTGATAAAAAAAACTGGTCAAAAACATCAGCCAGGTGTGCTGGTGCACTCCTGAAACCCCAGCAGAAGGCAGAAGGATTGCCTCAAGTTTGAGGTCAGCCTGCGCTCCACATTCCACATGGATATAATGCCAACATTAAAGTGAAAGAGTAAAACAAGAGAGTACTTACTTCTCAAATTCTCTTTCAATCTTTTTGGCAAAGTATTACCAGTTGGAATATAAAACCTATTCAAGAAAATGGTGCTAAACACGATTAAAAAATGAATTATTTTAAGGAGCCCATATTAATTTGCACACGTGTGTGTGTGTGTGTGTGGTGATGGCACTAGGCCTTTCTAATTTCTTAAAAATTTGATTACTGTAGAAGGGATTAAACTCTACATTAAACTGAGAACATCCCAGCCCTTTTAATTTTTATTTTGAGACATGGGTTTGCTAAATTGCCCAGGGTATCTAATTTGTAACCCTTCTGACTCAGCCGCTGGGATTACATGCATGAACCACCACACCCAGCTAACAGCCCTTATTAAAATTCCACATCAGAGTTGGAAGCTGTAGATCATAAATTTCAATTTTTCTTATAGAAAGTTTCTCCCTAAACATTCCTTGAAAGGCAATTACTCAGTCTCTATCACTCATAAAATCAAATACATATCAGATTTATTAATAAAGCACAGTATAGAACTAAAGTTTCAGAATTTGCATTTGAAGAAAAAAATTAAAATCAGAAATATTTATGTTGACTGGTCTTTGATATAAATTTATGATCCAAATTTGAGTGGCTCCAAGTGTCATATTTCCTTAATCCACTCATTCTCCCATTGTCACAAAACTCCCTTTTTCAGAAATTACACATTGCTCTTCCATCCATATTCTCAGTCGATGATCCTGACTCTGGTTTCACAATCAGCTTTCACCTACTACATTACTAATACCCCACTTTATTTTCTGCTGATGAACATTCACAATTTAACACCTGTTATCACACTGAAATTGTTCATTATCAAGTACACCAATGACACACTGCTAAAAAGAAAGTCAATTATCACTGGAACCATCAACATCACATCACACAGCTAGCTGGCCCATCTTCCCTGGTGAGGAAATATTTTTTTCTGGTTTATCCCCTCCCCTACTACTTCACAGACAGCTCCTCATTCCCTGCTCTTGATCCTTCCTCTGGTGTGTTAACCCGTGAGTACGCTAAAGTTTAGGTTTAGAACTCTTCTCTTTGCTAGGCGTACTCACTTCCTTGGTAATCTCATTTAAACACATAGAGTTCATATCTTAAATGTAAACTTTAGGATTTTTCATTTCAGTTTGAACTTTCCCCAAAATTCCTAAAAGATGTATTCAAGTGCATATTCAGTGCTCTCACCTCACATTTAACATTACTACAACTGAATTTCTTATCTTTATTCTGAATATTGCTTCCATCCACAGTCTAATTTTTTAATTTCAGAAATGGGAATTTTGTTCCTCTAACTGCTCTGCTCATACTTGTGGTCTTCTTGATCTGTATTTCTCTTATACTTTTAACTTCTAATCAGGGAATCCTACTGTACCTACCTTCAAGACCTAACTACATCTTACCAACTTCACTTTAATGTTTGTCTTAGCATCATCTCTTATCTGGATGACAGCAACAGGCTGTCATCTAACTTTGTACTTTCTAGACTTTAGAGGCTATGAACACAACAACTACACTGTTAAACCACACCATATCTTTGTTCAAAATTTTATGGAACCAATTTTCACAGACTAAAAGGCTGTGTTTATAATGGCTTCTAAGACACTATCCAAAGTGCTCCTACACAAATCCTTATTTCCTACTATCTTTTTACCTATTTAGTTCCATACTTAAACCTGAAAAACCTTATTTAAAGCTGGATGTGGTGGCACACGCCTGTCACCCCAGCACTTGGGATGCTGATGCAGGAAGATCACTGTGACCTCCAAGCTAGTTTGACCTATAAAGTGAGTTCAAGGCCAAGCTAAAATGCATAGTGAAACTATGTCTTAAAAAGACCAAGAAAAGGGGGACAACAAAAAACCTTATATAAAAACGCAGCCCCTCTCCCTCTCTTCTTTAACCTGGTCCCCATAAAGATTCTAAGGCTGCTAGTTTTTTAAATTTATCTGTTTCAGAACAACTTTTAGAATCAAATGCTGTCCTTTGAGTATCAATTATATAATGTACAAAGAAGGCAAAGAAAACTTACTCCTTTAACGTGCTCAAAAGTGACATTTTTCATCTGAACAGGATCTACTGCAGAATCAAGCCCGGTAGTAGTCCGGAAGCGGACTAAATGGAAGAAAACAGATGTTAATATTTAACAGATTAACAAAATTTCAATCATCTTAATTTTTAGATGTAAGAAACCAAAGCCTCCAAAATTAAACATCGGAAAAATCTCTGTTCACATACACCGAAACAAAGTACAGAACAGAAAATAGGTCTTCTGATTTCTAGATCATGTTCAAATAGCAAGTGATTCACATTAAAGACATATTTTTGTACTTTCCTTTAAAACCAAAAATTATTTTCCTGTTCTTGGACTAATAATAGAAAGCTTAAAATCAATGGTTATCAAATTTCAGTATGAATTTTTGAAAAACCACTTGAAAACTGTGTTAAAATGCAAATCTTCAAAACCGTGCTACACACTAATAGTTTGCAGATTTGAGAAAGAGCCCAGGAGGTTGCATTTTTAACAAGCACCTTCAATTATTCTGACACAACTGGTTACAGATCTACATTGTGAAATACATTGCCTTAAACACAGCATAAAAACCCGGTCCATTCATTTAATTAAAAGAAGGAAAGAAATGATTTCACTTTTTAAGTATTCTTCAATAATGACATCTTTTTTTTTTGTTTTTGTTTTTTGTATTTTTCTTTTTTATCGGTACCGGGGATCGAACTCACGACTGTCTGCTTGCAAGGCAGGCCCTTATGCCGCTGAGCTAAATCCCCAGCCCAATAATGACATCTTTAAGCATATGAGAGGAAGAGTTTGGTAGGATAAAATACTTCAAAGCTACCCTGAGCAACTGTTACAAAGTTTTTAAAAATTGCTCCCCAGGTCAAGTGGAACAGTTACAAATGAGTACAGCGATTTCTAATAACTTCATGAAACTAAAAGATTGCCATTAAGACATAGTGAAATTTAAAGGCAAAAGAAAGAAATGCTTGCTCGGTATGGTGGTACATGTGTGTAATTCCAACATTTTGGGAGGTTGAGGCAGGGCGATCTCAAGCTCAGGCCTACCTGGACAACTCAAGTGAGACTCTGTCTCACAGTAAAAAGGACTGTGGATACAGCTGAGTGCAGGTCTTGGGTTCAATTTCTTAGACAAAAACAAAAAAAATTTCTAACAGAAGAAATGCCTAACACAACAGGAACACACAAGTGGGAAAATACATATATAAAACAGTAATTCTAGAATGGACACTAACAGTTTGAGCCTTTTAATGAACTGTTTAAGGATCTTAAATAACTACAAAGAATGAACATATGGTAAAAACTGAATGATAGCTGAGAAAGTAATTAGAACCACCTACATGTGGTATTTATAACTGTATTTCAGAACTGCAAACTGAAAAGATACTGGATTCATCTGATTAAGAAAAAATTCAATTTATGGGCTTGTCTTTGAAGCACAAGACTGCCTTATATTGTTATTATAACATCCTACATGATGCTAAAATTTGATCATCCCACATGTATCATTTTCTAAAACCCTAGAAAACTAACCACTAGGAATGAAAGGTCTTGTAATGCAATCCACCAGCAGTTCCTTACCAGGTGCCACACCCACGAACCCCCAGAACCACAAGCTAAAATCAACCTCTTTCTTTTAGAAAAAGTACTCAATAGTCAGCCTTGGGTATTTCATCATTGAAACACAAAAAGCCTACATAATCTACAAACAGTGAAAAGGAAAAGAATATTTAAAGAAATAAAAAAGTTGCCGGGGATTTAGCTCAGGGGCACACGTGCCTGCCTGGCAAGCACGGGGACATGAGTTTGATTCATTACCACAAAAAAAAAAAAAAAAAAAGAAAGAAAGAAAGAAAGAAAAAAGTTAACATGGCAGATAAATAAAAGCATCCTTACCAGATAAAAATGGATTTTTTAAGAGTCCATAAATGCCAAACAGAAGCAGAACAAAAAGAATTAAACGAGTTCGCCTTAAAGAATCTGGAAGAGAGAGAGAAAGGCTTAAGCTGAATACCACCAATGAGATATTGCAGCTAAACAAAATGCAAGTATCAGGATACTGATAATTATACTTTTATAATGTGCAATTTTGGAAGCTAGCATTCTTGTGCACAGCCACAGCCTTTCAGCATCTTCTTCCTCAAAACTTTACGAAACCACATATGCTTTCTGTTCTTGACTTATCTCTTGAGAAAGTAAACTGCCAATATTTCTACTCAAACATAGTTTAACTTATAATGGAATACACCCATGTAAGAAGATGGATGAATTTTTGTTTTTTGAGACAGGATCTCACTATTTAATTGCAAACTGGCCCTGAGCTCACTATGTAGCCCAGGCTGGTCTCAAACTCTTAGTTATCCTCCTGCTGCAGCCTCCTGAATGCTGGGAAACAGGATGAATGATTTCAGAAAAGTCATTTGTAATAGTTTAAATGTAGGCCTATGACATCTTTTCAGTTATTTTTCTCAAATCAACTTACCATTGGTTTTTTGTGTTAATGTTTGAGCTTTCAGAAAACCCTCTGCAAAACCAGTTTTAAATGCATCTTGATGAGCTTCAGGTATGTTTTTCGTTTTCATGAGTTTGTCCAAACTCTCAACATCTGCTCCTCTGTCCCGCAAAAGAAACCCCTACATGCATGAAATAACACAACAGTATTTATTGGTCAACTGTACAGACAGGGATAATACTCATTTATGTCATCATCACCCACTAAAAATTAATTGCAAGTCTAAAATTTCATTTCTATTGCCAATGTGAAGAAATTAAGATTCAACATCAAATTAATCAACTGACCAGGATACTAATTCTAGATCCCACACGCACACAAATCAATTATTAACATAAAGAAAGTGTCATTACTCTGCACTACACTATACTGAAAACACTACCACATAATGCTTAGGATTATAATGGTCTGATATTCACCGTACTTTATCTCTGCTGGAGGAAAAATTTCATTACCTTATTAAGATTAAAGTATTATTCTGCATGGCTAGGCGTAGTGGCATGCACCTGTAATCCCAGCACTCAGGAGACTGAGGCAGGAGGATCATTGTGAGTTCGAGGCTAGCCCGGACTACAAAGTGAGTTCAAGGCCAGCCTGAACTGCACAGCAAAACCCTGTCTCAAAAAGACAATAAAATAAGAAAATAAAATATTGCCCTGCACATACTAAGCCTAGTTCTAAAAATATAAAGATAATTAAGTCATTCTTCTTAAAGTTTCTAGCCCACTAGGAAAAAATATATAAATATTTTCTTAAAAAATGGTTTTGGCAGTGTGGAGCTTCCTTAAAAAACTAAGATTGGTGGGCCCATTCAACCCAGTTATTCCCCTTCTGGGTATCTTCCCAAAAAGAATTAAAAACATCATACCACAGAGATATATGTGCACCCATGTTTTATAGCAGCTAAGTTTATAATCGCCAGATCTTGGAAACAACCTAAATGGCCACTGACTGAGGAATGGATAAAAAACATGTGGTATTTTTATACAATAAAATATTACTCAGCCATAATTAATGATAAACTGGACATTTTTATAGGTAAATGGATATACCCTGAGAACATATTCATTAGTGTGACAAGCTGAAAGAAAAACATATATATGTGTATATGTATATAAAAATAGTTAAGACAGTTAGACTACTGATTTCGCTGAGTTCGCTGAAGAGAAAGATCTGTATTGGTATTGTTTGGACAACTGAACACAGATGTCTTGTACTCTGGGTGAATGATTTGGGGATGACAACGTACAATGTATGTACTATTACTACCTCTGACTGATGTGCTTTGAAATTTTTTTGTACTTTTATGTTTGAATAAAATGGATTTGAAAAAAATAAAGTGCAAAGAAAGAAAAAAGAAAAAAGATTTTGGTATCTAGTTATCGTAGCAAAAGAAATTCTATATACGGAAAACCACAAAGACCTTACAGAGAATGGACATAGTAACTATAGAGGAAAAACATGACAGAGCCACGGGACAGCATTTAAGAACTGTGTGTAATTTGACACATCTTGCAGTCAAAAGCATGGGACAGGGAAAAGACTAAGTGGCATACCAGAAATGAGAACCAAAACAAATGGTCAGTAAAGGTTTGAAATGCCCTGTAAATCAGACTGAGTTGGGTCATCATTTTATTACTTAACATTTTTTTTTTTAATCAGGGATTGAATTCACTACCTCACAGTTACCATTAGTCTCTTGACATTTCTGAAGAATAACGTTTCACCCTTCCAAGAAAACCAAACCAAAGCCAAACCCATGTTACACTTTGGCTCCCATGGCCAGCAAGGAAGAGCCCTGTGGCAGTGGCAGGGCGGGGTAGTCCAATAGCAGGTGGCCCCTTTTCCAACTTACCACAGTTGCCCACCTGTTCAAAGCCAGGGCACTTTCCTCATGAGCACATAACGTACATAGTCACTGCTGCCTCCTCCCGCACTCACACACCCGCACACGCACACCCGAGTGTCTGTGTCAGGGATGCTGCCTACTGACTGTGAGGCCGCTTGGCCGCGGGCGCCTCCTCCTTTTCCTGCTTCAGCCATCGCACCAGCAGGCCTGCACCACCTCTCTTGGCGGGTAGCGGGCTCTTCTGCAGGAACTGGCTGGACCACTGGGGTGTGTCGGACTTGTCCTTCTGGGGTGTCTCTTGGTCTTCCTTTTTGGGTGACTTCGTGGCTAGCCACTGCATCATCTTTTGGCTGCTGCCACTTGCCTTGGGCTCCTACAAAAGAAAAAGGCTCATAGCCTCCTGAATGGGCTGACTCAGAAGCCAAAAGAGGAGGAAGGCACTGGAGGGGCTCAGAGCATGGCAGAGAACAGAAATAGCACGTAGTGCTAGGAAATGAGGTTGGACTCGCAGTCCACACCCTCTGTGCCCCTTGCAGTCCCCACCGCCCAGCCCTGAGCAAAAAGATTCTGAATTAGCACAATGTGCCCTTCACAGAGTAAAGACCACACGGAAATGGGGCAGTGTCTGATGCAAAATGAAGATATATACATGTTTCATTTTAGAGTGAAAAACACGTCAGGGTAACAGGAGTTTGCAGAGACAAAAGAAAAATGAGGGCTGGGGATATAGTTCAGTGGCACAGTGCCTGCCTGGCAAGAGTGAGGTCTTGATTTTTAGTACAAAAAAAAAAAAAAAAAAGAAAAGAAAAATGATGGCAGTGCCTATGGTAAGGGGAAAACAACTGTAAGAGAAACAGGACAAGGTGGTTGTCCTGGTGGCTTTTGTCCCGACACTGCTCTGAGCATGAACTCTCCAGGTCATCACAGGATCTCGCTGTGTAATCCAGGCTGGCCTTGAACTTAAGGTCATCTTTCTGCCTCAGCCTCTCAAGGGCTGAAACAATCAGGTGTGCACCACCATGTCTGGCTCGATGGGGTCAGTTAACTAAACTTAGGAACTTCCTCTGCACTGCAGGCCTCCCGTCCAGCCACTTTCCCTCCCCACACCCTGGGTCCTGTGAATACTGAGAGGGAACAGGGCGCTTCTCCACCTTGTGGCTGAAGCAGGTAACAGAAGAGACTGCAGAGGCCAGCGGCCTGAGAGTGGACCTCAGCAGGCTGAAGGCTTGTGTCTTCCTCAATCACCTTCAGGAGAATTTGGTTTACCAGGTTCACCAAGGATGCCTCCAGTTTCCTTTCTTTTTTTTTTCCATTTTTCTGGCTGGGAATTGAACTAGGTTTTTAAAATTTTGAGATAAGACTCTTAAGTCATTAAATTGCCCAAGCAGGGTTTGCACTAGTTATCCTCCTGCCTCAGCCCCTCAGGTAGCTGGGATGACAGATGTGCAGCCCTGCATCCAGTTCCAAAGCAATTTCTTTTTGTATGTGGGGGACTTTCTGAGGCACAGTCTTGCTATGCAGTCCAGATTAGGCTGGAACTTGCAGGGATCCTCCTGCCTCAGCCACCAGAGTGTGGTGGCTGATTACAGGTGGGTTAGCCCAGGCAGAGAGTGCTTCTGGGGGTGAAAGCTGGGACTAGAAAATGCCATAGGCTGAGAGACAAGGCAACATGACAGGCCCCTACCTTCTTGACCACCAAGTGGACAGGAGTCAGACACTCAGGGCTGTTGTTCCTCGAGTTGTTGACAATGGGGGAGACAGCGTGGAAGGTGATGTTCTCTGTGGGGCGGATCAGCTTCAGTGCCTCCTGAGTAGGGATATCCCCAAAGTCTAGCCACCTGGACACGGCCTCCTCTCCATCCAGGATGGCAGGCATCCTATGAGTTGGGATGTTGGGGCAGAGACAGTGAGGCAAGAGAAAGATACAGACTTGAGTCAGCTGACAGCAGCTACCCAGAGGCCACACCCATGCTCTGTGTCTCCCTTCTCTGTGCTGCACAGAAAAAGCGAACAGGGCCATGCTTGGGACTGGTGCATTAGCGCTCAGGCTAATAAACTGGTGGGCTTCCTACAGTCCCCAGCCTAGAACAAAGAACAAGGGATCCTTGAAAACTATCTATGAACAATCACCTCTGGTCTCATGACCCATGAAAGCCTATAGTAAGAAAGGGCTAGCTGGACACAGCAGCACTCGCCTGTAGTTCCAACTACTTGGAAGGCTGAGACAGAAGAATGCTTGAGCTCCAGAGTTTAAGGCCAGCCTCGGTACAGGGTAAGAGCCTGGCTCAAAAGAAATCCTTAAAATCTTTTTAACCTGAGTGTATTTTATGATAAATGGCATCTCTGCTTGTATTATAGATTACTTAACAGTAATTAGCAGTGTATTTTTGAGATAGGCACTTGCCTTGAACTCACTAACCCAGGCTGGCCTCCTGAGTGCTGGGATTACAGGTATGTGCCGTCAAACCCAACCAACAGTGCTTTACCTTTCTTTTTTTTGGGGGGGAGAGGGAACATGACAAGGTCTTGCTATGATCCTGTTCAAGGGTGGCCTTGATCTCACAAGCAACCTTCCAGCCTCAGCCTCCCAAATATAGGCTACCATGCCCAGCCTGTTTTACTTAACATACAAAACGATGTTATAGCATTCTGCATGGCTGAGGCAGGAGGATCACAAATTTAAGCCCAGCCTGAGAAACTTAATGGCGCTGTCTGAAAATTAAAAACAAAAATGGCTGTGCATGTGTGTGTGTGTGTATATATATGTACAGATAGCTCGACGTGAAGGCCCTGAATTCAATACACAAAAACTAAAACAACTATATCACACAAAAGCATATTTTCATAGAGCTCAGGACAAGGCAGGTAATCCTAGTAGGTACAGTATTAACAATCTTTGCAACAGAACAGCAAAACTGTATATAAGTGTGTACTCAGATCTGGCAGTAACTATAAAGGTGTTATACAAGTACAGTCTGTTCTGCCAGTGCTTGTTTTTAAACTACAAACCTGTTTCAGTGTGACTGATGTGTCAAGAAGCAAATGGAGCAAAATGCAAATTCTGCATTTGCTTCCGCTGCATTTCATGTGTGCAAACGGAGTTGAACACAGGAAACTGTTTCTGTGGAGAGCCTGAGAAGGGCACGAAATGCATGCATACAAGCTACCTGCGCTTGCAAGGAAGGTCTCCAGGCTGAGCTCTATCCTTCAGTGCCTGGGAACTTCCTGTGTGTATATTTCAAGCACCCATTTCACTTCTCCAAAGCAGCTCAGCTGCCTGGCTCAGAACAGGGGTGGGCAGTGCATGGAGAGCAAACAGAAACATTTTAAATACTGAGGAACTTGAAATAACAAAGCATCTTCAAAGAAAAAACAAGAACATGTAATTATCTCCAGAGCAACAGATAAAAGGAATCCACAGCAGCCACAACACTGCAAAAATAGAAGAAATATCTATGGCTGGAGCAATTCCAAGAAGTAGTGTGAAGTGCTGACAAGGCCTAAGGAGCAGAAGCCAAGGAAACATTCTTTAACAAAGGAAAAAGCTTTTCTTACAAGGAAAGAGCACTATTTATACATGAAGACCTTAAACACTCTGAACTGGCTTCTTTGAATGCAAGTGTTGTGGCTTGGTGCCTTCTGCTATCAGAAGCTGCAGCACGGATGGAAACTACCCTCAGGAATTTCCAGGGTTGGGGCTGGGATGCAGTGCAGTGGCAAAGCCCCTGTCTAGCATTATTGGGCCATCAAGCCAGGCCTTGGTACCACCGGGGCACAGGAAAAAGCACGTAAGTGGTTTCATCCCAGCATCACACACAAAAAATATATAAAAAATTTCTAGTCATCTAGAAATTAAATGGATGAGGCTATACATTGGATGAAATATTCAGTTTTTTTGGAAGAGGGTCTCATGGGGTAGCCCCAGCTGGCCTTGAACTTGCAAGCAATTCTCCTGCCTCAACCTTCCAAGTATTAGGGTGACAGGCATGAGCCACCACACTTGACTATTTATTTTTTAAACTCAAGGCCTAATGAATACTAAACATATGCCCTACAACTAATTAAAACTCCAAGGCCTAAACTTTTTTTTCTTTTCTTTTTGAAACAGGGTGTCACTATGCAGTTCAGGCTGGCCTTAAGCTCACTTGGTAATCCAGGCTGGTCTTGAATTTTTGACAATCTTTCTGCTGCAGCCTCCCAAGTGCTGGGATTACAGGCACGTGCCATCACGCCCAGCCGTGGGCCTAAAATTATTTTAAAATGTCTGAAATCTCAATGAATTTCATGTGATTTTGACTCTAGTTTTGCAGTGTGATGATTTTTAAGAATGCATGTCATGTTATATCTAAATTGAATATAAGTATTTGAAAGACAGCTTTTTCTTTTTCTTTTTGGAGATGTGGCTCACTATGCAGCTTAAGCTTGCCTTGAGCTCGCAATAATCCTCCTGCCTCAGTCTCCTAAATGCTGGGATTGATTATAGGTGTGCATCACTGCCCCTAGCTAGTTTTTAAAACTACCTACCCAAAAGCACAAAGGACAGACTTTCATCTGCATTCTTTTGGATCCAGGGATATTAAGTGTGACTTTAGCCAAGCATGGTGATGCACACCTATAATGTGAGCTGCCCAGAGGCTGAGGCAGGAAGATCATGAATTCAAGGTTAGCATGGGCAACTTAGTGAGAACTTGTCTCAAAATACAACAAGGAAAAACTGGCTGGGATTGATGCCCAGAACTAGACACAGAAAAGCTTGCCTGTGGTGGATATCATGCAAGCTTTTGCAGGAATCCATGGTAATGATGGTGTAGGAATACAGCAGGTCTCCTCCCTCGGGGGGCTCCCAGTAGTCAAAGATCCCTGCCATTGTCAGCGGCCTCCAGTGGTCCCAGACTTTTTCCCAGTCCTCTGTATTGTCCACAGTCCCACTGTTGCCTAGCTGCAAGCAAAAGAGGCAAATGAGCTTTTTGCAAAGGCTGGGCATGCCTCATACTGGACAGCATGGGGATCATCACAGGGGCGACTCTGCCATCACCATTAATCCCTTGACCCACTGCCTGCAAGAGAAGGAGGCTTGGTGGCATAAAACTCCTTCTGCTTGACATGTAGGCTGCTGTGGCTGCCATGTACACCATTTGGTTGGGTGTTTGTTTTCATGGTGGCATAGGCATACCGGTGAGTGTGTGCCATCAAGCTTCACACTGTTTACCTGCACCAGCTGGCTGTCCTAACCTAATGACCCATGCAATCTGGTTGCCCACTTGCTGGGGTAACCTCCTCAGCCATCCTGACTTTCCTTCTCATCACACTGCTTCTACTTAAGGTACAGGATTCTGTTTAAGATCTGCAATACAGAAAGCAACAAAAAGCACCTCTTTTCACCTTAACAGTAAGGAAAAAAGCTACAGAATTTACATACCTATGCTTTCTCTCAACCTTAACAGAGGTTGCCAGGCAACCAGGAAGGCTAAATGTAAGCAAAGGCGGGAGCTGGATGGGAGCAGGAACAGACATTAGCTGACGGTGGTGAAAAGTGGGACGCAGCAACTTTGGGTAGCAGCAAAGATTCAGATGTAATTACAACCACATGTGACAGCAGAGCAGGCAACCCACAGGCTGCTGCCATGAGCTCCCCATGCACCCGAGGAAGGCAGGGGAGGCAGGAGGCATGGGCGGGCATGGGAGGTGCTCCTCTGCAGAAGGACATACAAAAGGAACACGCTGCAGGGCCCTGGGAGCAGGAGGGCCTGTGAGGCAATGAGCAACCTCAGGAAAAGGGTGAGGCAGACTGGGAAAGCCAGAGACTGACGGCCTGTGGGCCAAACTGTGACAAAGAACCACTGCCACCCTGCAGCTCGGCAAGCACAAGTGACACACAGGCAGAGTAAGAGCAGAGACCTCGCCAAGGCCCAGGCTTCCAGGGAGTCCACAGCCACAGCAGTACCACGGCAACAACCTTCTGCACTCACTCTTGCCAAAGCACTACATACCACTGGAGAACCAGAAGAAGGGTGACAAGGGAAGCATGATTTCAGTCAAAGGCCACGACAGTCCCCCGACTGGACTGGCATAGTAAAAGCTTAATGGAAGAATTGCCAGAAGTATTATTTACTTCAGTTTCTGTTTTACATGTTATGCCTGACAATAACCAAAAACTATCAAGGCTGGACACAGTAAGGCACACCTTTAATACCAGTACCCTGGGAGGCTGAGGCAGAACAATCCAAAGTTTGAGACCATTCTGCGCAAATTAGTAACTTAACAAGATCCTGCCTCAAATAATAAAAGGGATGTGCCTCATTGCATAGATTCAATCCCTACTACTGAAAAAGAACAAAACAATAAACTGAACACAAGTCAATGAAAATTGTCCAAACTGAATCACTGGAAAAAAAACACAGAAGAGAACATCTAAGAACTATGGGACAATATCAAACCACCCAACCCTTGTAGAATTAGAATTCCAGGGATGAGGGTATAGCTGAGTGGTGTACCAAATATCAGGTTGTGAGTTTGGTCCTCGGCTTTTACTAAAAACAAACAAACAAACAAACAAAAAAGCACAGCATCAAAACAACAACAGGTGTGCTGGCACATGCCTGTAATACCAGAACTCTAGGAGGCTGAGGCAGGAGGATCCAAGTTTGAGCTTAGCATGGGGAACTTAGCAAGAGCCTATCTCCAAAAAAAGGTGGGATGTTACATGTACAAATGCCCTGACAGTTCAATTTCTAGCACAGAAAGGAGAAAAAAAGACAGACAGAAAAAGGACAGTAAGAAAGAATGACAGATTGAAATAAATTGAGCATAGTGGCACGTACCTGTAACACCAGACCTGAGGCGGCTAAAGCAGGAGAATCACAAGTTTGAGGCTATCGTGGGCTACACAGTAAGATCAAGGTCAGCTTTTGGCATGATCAAAAGCATAGTGAATTCTGCTGCCAAGTGCCGTTCAATGAAAAGGTTTATTTGCAAAAACATGACAGTGTGTCTTTCTCTACCTTATTCACTGGATCTGGCACTATGACATTTCTGGCTCTTCTCCAAAGCCAAAATCACCACGAAAGGTAAATGGTTTGAGTCAATTAAGGTCATCAAGGCACCACGACAATGTAATTAAAGACATGAAAAAGGACTTGGAAACTGCTTCATAAAGTGTTAGAATTGAGAAAGTAGTATTCGGGGGCTGGAGATTTAGCTCAGCGGCATAAGCGCCTGCCCTGCAAGCAGGCAGTCATGAGTTCGATCCCTGGTACCGATAAAAAGGAAAAAGACAAAAAAAAAAAAAGAGAGAGAAAGTAGTATTCTGAGGGGGACTGATGGCAATGTGTCTTTCACTGTAATAAATGATTTAAACACTTAAACACAGCCCCCTTTTTTAAAAATCTCAATAAAGCTGTTGCTTAAAACAAAACAATACAAACCAACCTCCATGAGGGAAGGAAAAAATGTCCTTTGGGTCACTGTCAAGTATCACTGCTGGACCCTTTTAGGAAATGCATCCCAGGCAATTTCAGCACAGCGTTGAGCACCACAGTGTAAACAGCAGAGCCTGCTCTGCACCAGGCTACATGGTACAGCACTATCGCACATGGCCATCACTGAAGGAAGTATCGTCATGTGGTACAGGATCTTGACTTGTCCCTGTCCTTCCTACAGTATACTGCAGACAGCTGCAGATACCTGCTTTGTCTCAGTCTGAGGAAAATAGATGAAGTATGGTTGCGGCTGGCTTGTTCCATGACATCGTTGCCACTCAAAGAATCCATCTGCTAAGACAACACAGCGTCTTCCCTTTCCCAGCGGCACCTTAGAGAAAAGTGAGCATGACACAGTCATGTTTCAGAGATAGCACCAAGTTAAAATTTCAGTCACCGTATGAACCAGGAGAAGATATTTACAGAGTTCTCTGTATCTCACTTTTTTGTTTTCTTTGTAGTCGTGAGGATGGAGCCCAGGCTTTACACGTGCTAGGCAGGCACTCTATCACCAAGCTACCCTAGTCCTTTTCATTCTGAAACACTCTTACAAAGTTGCCCAGGCTGGGCTACAACATAGTAATCCTCAGGGGCTGGGGATTTAGCTCAGCGGCATAAGCGCCTGCCTTGCAAGCAGGCAGTCACGAGTTCGATCCCTGGTACCGATAAAAAGGGAAAAAGACAAAAAAAAGAAAACATAGTAATCCTCTTGCCTCAGCCCCCCAAGTAGCTGGTATTATAGGTCTAAGCCACCGAGTCTGCCTTACTTATGCATAAAGTCACCATTCCAATACACTGATGCTGAAAAGTACATAAAAGCAAGTAGCTTTTTTTTAATAAGTAGGTACGCATAGTAGCTGGTCTCTAATGTTGGCCCCCAGTTAACCACATATGCTTCCTGGTACCCACAGCCACACAGTCCCCTGGTATACTACGCAGGGAGGACAACAGCATTTATCCTGCCTTGAGTCGTGAGCTCTGTGCTCAAGGAGCTGCTGTGTCAGTGCCTGAGTACTCCATACCCTCAAGCTAGGAATGGGGAAGGCTTCCAGATATTTTAGCTCTAACCCTGTTATGGCTTGTGTCTAGATGTCTCCCTAAAGCCTCATGGGGTCATACAGGCAGATTTTTCAGAGGTGGTTGGATATAGAGTGTGTGATCTTGAAATTGATTCATAGTACAAAGCTCAAGGGTACTAAGGTTAAGGGTATGAGTGCTACCTACTTTAAGTAGACTGAATAAGATAAAAGGGGCCAAAAGACACTGTCGAGGCCTCTTGCTTGTTTTGCTCCTTTCTGTCTGCCATGAACTGGTTCTCCTCTGTGATGTCCTTCTGCCAAACCACCCCTGCCTTGGAGCCAGTAGATTATGGGCTGAAATCTTTACAAACTGTGAGTTAAAAAACCCTCCCCCACTTTAACTTTAGGTGTTGGGTATTTTGTCTCAGCAACAAGAAAGTAACTAATATACCTTCCCAGCTGAGATGGCAGGTGGACATCCATTCCCAGCTATCCCCTGATTATAAGTAAGTCCACATAATACAAAAGAAACACTTATGTTAAGTGACTACATTAGCACAGGTGGTGGTGCATGCCATAATCCCTGTAATTCCAGCACTCTGTGAAGCAGGAGGACTGAGAGTTTGAATCTTAGCCGGGGCAACTTAAGGAGGCCCTGTCTTAAACTAAAAAAATGTAAAAGATGTAGTTCACTGAAGGCCTTAGATTCAGTTCCCAGTACTACAAAAACACCAAAACAAGATGAAACAAAAAACCCACTATTTTACAGCACTCAACATAAACAATTTGGCTTTTTTTCTTTTTCTTTTCTTTTTCTTTTTGGAGACAGGGTCTCACTATGTAGCCCAGGCTGACTTCAAACTCAGGGCAACCCGCCTGCCTCAGCCTACCAAGTGCTGGATTATAGACATGAATTACCACATTCAGTCAACATTAACAGTTTGGAACCTTATTTTATTTCTCAGTTATACAAGGCACTAAACAGCTGTCAGAAAACAGAGCACGTGCCTTTTCTCTAGACCAGTGACCTACCTTGAACGACCATTTCTCCAGGATGGTATCACTGCGACAGTTGATGGTGTTGAATTGCAGCTTGGAAGGGTCACTTTCTTTGAACCAAGAGGGGACCAGGCCCCATCTCATGGGAGCAATGATCTGTTCTGATGAGTCTGCATCCTGCCATAGAAAAAGGTTAAGAGCAGTGAGATACAATAAAATCTGAAATACCAAACAGACATGTATGTTATATTAACATTAGCATGAAAAGACAAACAGCACACAATTTTGCAAAAAAAAGTCTACTTTAAAACACTGAAATGGCTCACATGACACAGACGATTTGAGTTGCGTTAGGGAGGGGACACAAAGAGTTTTGAATTTACCATATTTTTTTAAAAATTTTATTTAAAAGGAAAAACAGAAAAACACAAAACAAAACAAAGCGGTGTAAGGGTACAAGTAATACAGAACTACAAAAAAAAAAAAAACAGTAAGAAATCACCAGTTAATAGATCACACATTATCATCATAGAGATAGTTGCTCAAGTCATAGTATCAAAGCATACAAAGTGAACATTCAAACAGAGAGACTGCAAACGGTTGTGTTCAATGATCCAACCAAAAACATTAATATGGTCAGCTATTTAACACCCCTAAACACACTTGCAGTTGTATCCTTTAGAGCACTTTTTTTCCCTCTCTTTTTTACAACAAAATTTACACATTTTGGGTTTTATTACTCCTTAGTTCTTATTACTTTTTTTTGGAAGAGAATAAAGTCAAATATGGCAAAACAAAGCTGTCAGTCAAAACCAAGGATAGACATACTACATGATGTAAAAACAGAGTACAAGGTTATCAACAATGGTTACCATAATGCCTCTTGCTTCCTTAAAAAGAATTGTCTATCTCATTAGATATTATAAAGTTGAACAAAACAGTAGAGAACAAGACCAATAAAACTTAAACATTGTAAACATTACAGGACTTCCAAAGGAGATAATAGTCAAACCAGAATGGGCATCTTAGTGAGTCTTACTGCCTTCAAAGTAGTTGCCTATACCCTCAAACTTGATACTATCATACAGAACGGAACAGAGTCTAATCAGTCAAAACAAGATAGTGGGAGTATTGCAGGACTTCAAAACAAGTTAATAGGAAATCAAAAAAAGTTACTATAGTATATCCTGCTAATTTTTAAAATTTTTCCCCTTAATTAAGAAAACCATAAAAAATAACTAAATAATTTTTTAATGAATAAGGGAGAGATTGAGATAAAAGAGGACATAACAACAATACAGGTCAAAGCAAAACTGTTTCAGCAACCTAGTGCTTCACCACCAAATAATCTGACTTAATAGTAGTTATCATAGTGTCTGTCTTTTTCCTTAAAATATTTGAATATAACTTCATATACTATAGCTTCAAATATTTCCATATCAAGAAGCCCAGAATAAAGCCTTACCAATTAGTAAATAAAAACTTTATAAGGCTTCAAGGCCACATAATGGGGAATCATGATTACCACATACTTTTATTTATTTATTTATTTTTTGTCTTTTTTGGTACCGGGGATCGAACTCATGACTGCCTGCTTGCAAGGCAGGCGCTTATGCCACTGAGCTAAATCCCCAGCCCCTACCACATACTTTTATATATTTGAATCATTACTTACCATATTTTTTTTAATCTGTACCTTTGGGATAGACAGATTTCATGTGGCCCCATTGGGGGGGGGGGTTCAGGGGATTGAACTAACGACCTCACACTTGCCAGGCATGAGCTTATGCCGCTGAGCTAAATCTTCAACCTTGGTCCCAACATTTCTAAAACACATGTTAAAAACGGATGTAGTGGCTCACACCTGTAATCCTAGCATTTGGGGAGGCCAGGGTAGGGGATCACTGTGAATGAGTCCAGCCTGGGCTACAAAGTGAACTCAATGCCAGCCTGAACAACACAGCAAGACTGTGTCTCAAAAAGACAATAAATAAATAAAACACCTGTAGTAGCTCAATGGTATAAGTGCCTGCCTGGCAAACACGAGGTTGTGAGTCTGATTTCTAGTACCAAAAAAAAAAAAAAAAAAAAAAAAAAAAAACAACAAACTAGGCATGATGGCGTACACCTGTAATCCTGGCACTTGGGAAGCTAATGCAGGAAGATCATTGCAAATTCGAGATCAGCCTGAGCTATAAAGTAAGCTCAAGGCCAGCCTGAACTGCATAGTGAGACCCTGTCCCAAAGACCAAAACAGAACCAAAAAAACAGGCCAGGGATTTAGCCCGGTGGTAAACTCCTGCCTGGAAGCATGAGGTCCGAGTTTGATCCCCAGTACCAAAAAAAAAAAAAAAGCAATTAGGTGACAGACCTGTAATCCTGACTAGTGGGAGGTTCAGGCAAGAAAATGGCAAATTTGAGGCCATCATGGGTAACTTAACAAGTTACCCATGACTCAAAATTTTAAAAAAGGGATCTAGGGAGACAGCTCAGTGGTAGAGCACTTACTTGGATATGTACAGCCCTGGGTTCCAGCCCCAGAACTGAAAAAAGTAAGCACTGAGAAGTAGTTTTGTGTAGAAGAGTTAATACTGCGGACCAGAAGATGCTACTTTTAGAAGGGTCTACTTACAAGCTAACCTTCCATTAGCATTTTGGAACTCGAGTTTTGAGAAGGTTCACACTTTTTCCTATTGGACAAAGTGGTTTACTCTGCCTAGTCTCCCTGAAGGAAAAGATAAGCGGAGATGGTGATACATACTTCTAATCTGAATCAGGAGGCTGAGGGAAGAAGAGGCTAAATTCCAGGCCAGTCTGGAAGACTGAGGCCTTGTCTCAAAAAATAAATAAATAAAACAAAAAACCAACACCACCAAAAACAACCAAGCCAAACCAACAATAAGGTTAATGCTAAACGTTGGGCTTCTGTTTATTCATTCATTCATTTACTTACTCTGTGTGTCTTATTATGTACTCCAGGCTGGCCTTGAATTCAAAGTAATCCTCCTGCCTCAGCCTATAATGTGCCACCATACCTGGCTCTGTAGTTTTGCATGTATAATTCTCTTCACACACACACACAATACACACACACACACACACACACACACACACACACACACACACACACGGAGTTGATTCTCAATCTGTTAACTGACCTACAAAAAGGTTCTGATTAGTCTACTTATACTTTCAAATATAAAAACTATAAAAGTCATCATAATTCAAATTAGCCAAATATATTTGAGTGCACTCTGATTTTGTTTTGTCTGTTAAACTGTTTCTCTGTCTGTCCAATCTGTACAGATCATCTAAGTATGTTTCTTGATTTGTCATATCCATAATCAGCTGATTTTTGAGCTCAAATATTTTTTTCTTTTGCATTTTTGGATTTGTTCAGAACTTAATATGGGTTATAGAGCCAAAAGCATGCTTCTACCTGAGTTGCCAGCTGGTCAAATGATGCTATAATTGGTTGTGTAAAGTTAATATATACTGTTGTTTATGTACCATCACTGGAGAACTCTTTGTTCAAAAATAGTGTGTTTGGTGTGTTTGGGGCTGGGGATTTAGCTCAGTGGAATAAGCACCTGCCTTGCAAGCAGGCAGTAGTGAGTTTGATCGCTAGTACCGATTAGAAAAAGAAAAAGTGTGTTAAGTGTTGTGATTGGGTTTCCCATAAATCATCAAAAAATTTATTAAGATAATTAAACAATTTGGAGAGATAAGATGATGTTCTTGAAGCTGTATAACTATCTGAATAAAGGTAATTTGAATTTGGACATAAAAAAAGATAATTAAAAATCCTTTGGGGTACGGAGATACTATTGGATAGGACTACCTTTTGGTGAATAAAGAAGCAGTTGCCTAGGAAAAATCATTGTCATCTTTGTTCATTAATGGGAGGTCCCGATAATCTCAATAGCCTTATGGGAGACACTTAATAAATGTTGTTAAAAATGTTACTATGAAGTCAGGCATGGTGGCTCATGCCATAATCCCAGCACTCGGGAGGCTGAGGCAGGAGGATCGTTGCGAGTTCGAGACCAACCTAGGCTACAAAGTGAGCTCAAGGCCATCCTGAACTGCACGGCGAGACCCTGTCTCAAAAAGACCAAAAAAAAAAAAAAAAAAAAAAAAAAATACAGTTACTGTGTTAAGTTTACATTGATAATCATCAAAAGGTTAAGTTTTCCAGAAGTAGTACAATAAAGTTTTTTCATAACAGATGTTCTTGTTACAAACTAAGAAATAAAGACTTCATATGGCTGTGGGAGAAAAAAAAAAAGAAAAACAAAACCCAGCCAGAACTACATAGTAGGACCTTGCCTCAAAAAACAACAAAACAAAACCCTAAGAACTTAGTGGGACAAGTTGAGGTCTCCATCTCCATTTTGGGAGGCCCTCTTCCAACTCCATCCAGTAATAGCGTTTATAGGGAGCTAAATGAGCAACAGTCTAATAGGGATAGGCCTTTGAAGGAGCCAGTGCAAAAGACCAGACACCTTACACAGTGAGGAGACAGACACCTCCCATTGTCCGCCAGACCTTAAGACAAGAGATAAAACAAATGCAACCACACCCTAAGGATAAACATCAGGAATTGGTATCCATCACCTTGATAAAGCCAAAAGGAGTTACCAACAGAACCCCCACAGGAAAGACCTTGTTCTGTATTCATGCTCACTTCTAGTGACCCGTTTCCCACGTGACTCCAATTTAATCAATTTTACCTGAGTGATTATACTCATAATCTTATTGGTTGACCACAGTTCGGTCCCACCTCATGCCCACCGTGGCAGTTCCCATTTTTCCCACGTTGGACCCACCTCACCTTGTGGTTTTGCTCTGTAAAAATCCCTACAAAAGGCAGGGTCTTCAGGAACCCACTCAGGATCCCTTCTGTCTCTCAATAAAAATATTCTGTTCTTAACCTCTGTTGTTCCTAAAATTTATTCCTCAATTTTAGAGAATACAAACTTATACTGGACATTTAGCAGGTTGGGAGTTTTTTTCCTCTATATCAATAGGACAATTCCATTCCACCACGGAGACTTATGCCAATGCCAAGGGACACTTCTAGTAGTGACTTGTGGTGCTACTAGTACCCGGGGGGTAGAGGTGAGGGGTGCTGCTAAATATCCTACAACAGTACAGCACAGCTCCCCATATCAAAGAATTATCCTGCACTCATATTTTGACAGTGCCTACCTAAGCTGAGAAACCTGGTCCTCACAAATTCTGCTGTCACCTCCGACTTGAATGTGTTCACTGGGCAACTGCAAACCAAACTCAATCATGAGGGCAATGAATTCAGTGAGTGAAAAACCAAAATACTAAAAATACTTCTCGGTATCAGTCATCTTGCCTCCCCTTTTTGGACAGGGAGGGCAACAGTTGGGAGCACTGGGGTAGATAAAGAAAAAAGTAACCAACTGCAAATTAGTGGTTTCAAATGCAAATACTACAACCTGAGTGGGCGTTAAGAATTTGGATGAGTTGTAACGCTTCTAATTTTGCCTTAAAATTTACACATTTGAGAAAAATGAGGTATCAAATATTTATCAAATTGAGAAACAACAGCAAATGTTAAGGATAATTTTTTTTTTTATTGGTACCAGGGATCGAACTCACGACTGCCTGCTTGTAAGGCAGGCGCTTATGCCGCTGAGCTAAATCCCCAGCCCCTAAAGATAATTTTTAAAACTTCCACTTATTTTTGCACCATAAGCAGCTGGCTCCAAGGTAGGGTGGCAAGGGGGCAGAAGGGGGAGAATGGAACCCAGTGCTTTTGTACTGAGCTACATCCTAGTCCCTTTTTATTTCTGGGGACCAGGTCTTGCCAAGTGGCTAAACTGGCCTTGGCCATCCTCCTGCCTCAGTATTCCCAGTATCTGAGATTACAGGTGTGCACTATCATTCCTCACCCTAATCATGACATTTTAAGATGTTATCAAAAGCATTTAAAATATTTATGATGTAGAGAAACTTGCTTTTTGGAACAGAAGAAAAAGAACTTAAAACTTCATTACAAATTGACTCTCTCTCTCCCCCCACTCCACTTTTGCAGTCTTGCATCACCAGGAACTTTTGCCCCCTTGCCACCCTACCTTGGAGCCAGCTGCTTATGGTCTAAAACCTCTACAAACTGTAGCTAAATAAACCTTTCCCCCTTAAAAAAAGTAATTAATCGACACTGCAACACTATGAACACAATAAATTACCAATAACTAAGTCAAGTGTGCTGTACACCTATAGTACCCACATTTGGGGTGTTATCCACATTCTCTGCTTGAGCCCAGCTTGGTCAGTTTAGCAAGAGCCTTTCTCAAAATAAAGGACTGAGAATGTACCTTAATGTGAGGGCCTGGGGGCGTTAATCCCTAGTATCTAAGAAGAAAAAAATTCTTCAAGTAACAAAACCAAATACATATGTTCCTAGCTTTAGTAAAAAACAAAACAACTGACAACACAAAAAAAAGAACAGAAAACTTTCAAGGCTTAAGAAAAATCAGAAGTGCTTTAAATTAGCTGTTCTTTTATTTGTTTCCCCATTTTGGTTTTCTGAAGCAGCATCTTGGTCTTGCTATGTAATCCAAACTGACTTCAAATTTACTAATGTAGTCCAGGCTGCCATGGAACTAGTAATCCTCCTGCCTCAGCCTCCAGAGTAGCTGGAATGACAAATGTGTGCCACCACTCCAGCTAAATTAGTTCATTATAAGTCTGCCCTAGGGGTGAGTCAGCTGGCTTGGTTAAAGGGGTACAGAAAAAATATTTTTTGTGGTTTTTTTTTTTTTTTTTTTTTTGTCTTTTCCTTTTTTATTGGTACGGGGAATCAAACTCACAAATGCCTGCTTGCAAGGCAGGTGCTTATGCCGCTGAGCTAAATCCCCAGCCCCAAAAAAATATTTTTTGGAGAAAAGGTCTGGTCTCGAACTCATTGTGATCCTTCTATCTCAGCATCCCAAGTGCTGGGGGAAATTTTAAAAAGATACTCAAATGACCCTGATAAGTGAGGTCTGAAATCTGCTGCCTTAAAACAATTCAAATTCAAGGCTCATAAACTGGGCACAAATTAAGGCTGGTACAGCAACTACAGAAAAAAAAAAAAAATATATATATATATATATATATATATATATATATATATAGAGAGAGAGAGAGAGAGAGAGAGAGAGAATAAAAATTGGCCGGGCATGGTGGCTCACACCTGTAATCGAAGCACTCTGGAGGCTGAAGCAGAGGATCGTTTCAATCAAGTTCGATACCAGCCTGGGCTACAAAGTGAGCTCAAGATCATCCTGAACTGCATAGTGAGTCCCTGTTTCAAAAAGGCAAAAAAATAAATAAAAAATTAAAAATTAAAATAAAAAAATACAATGGCCAAAGAACATGGAAGGAGTTATCTCAACTTACAAAACAAGAATAAACCTTCTTTCTGCGGGGCTCAGGGTTAGTAGCTCTCAAGTGGGGCGGGACCCGGGCCAGCCGGAGGCTGGGCACACCCGACCCACAGGCGAGGAAGGCCCTAGAGAACGTTACCTTTTCCAGGTGCAGGCGCGACAGCAGCACCGGGTTGCAGCTCTGCGGGCTCTGGTTGTAGGAAGGGTGGTACTTCTCAGGCTGTCTTCATTCGGGGAGCCGCCGCAGGCCGCCACGGTCGCGGTAGGCACAGGCCCTGGCCAGCACTTCCCTGGGCAGGTGGCAGGATGTCCGCCCGCACATCGTCGTCGCGCTTGCCCTGCAATCAGCAAACACCGGGAAGAGAGCGCTCGCGGGCCTCCGAAGTGAGGACGTTATCTTGTGGTTTTTGCACTGGGTCCCGCTGTGCACCCAGGTCGGCCTGGACCGGCGGAGATCCTGCTGCCTCAGCTTCCTGTGCTGGTAGCTGGATACTGTAGGTCCCCATAAGTTTTTTGGTTGTTTTGTTTCTTGTCTTTTGAAACAAAGTTTCACTATGCAGTTCAGGCTGGCCTTAAACTCACTATGCTAAACTCGAACACCCAGTGATCCTCCCGTCTCGACCTCCCAAGTGCTGGGATTACAAGTGTGTGCCCATAACCCAGCAGCCACCCGCGCTGGGATCCGATCCGAAACCCTTCCGCAGTTCCTTGGAAACTTCCCGGAGCTCCCGCCTTCGCCCCCAACCTGACGGCGCGCAGGGTGCTAAGGTGGAGAACAGGGTCCCCCAGCCAACTACGGACTCGGTCCTTGCGGCACCTGAGGCCGCGCCTCGGTCCGAGGAGTCTGTCGCACCACTTCCGGTCCCACTCGGTTTGAGGGGTCGCGGCAAAAGCCGACTCCCGAGAACACCGAAGACCCCAAGGCCTACAGCCCAAGGCTCTTTCCCGCGCTTCGCGGAACCCGGTCCCACGCTCGACGCCGCGCCTCGTCTCACCGTCAGTCAGCTTTGCAGCCAGCCAGCCGTCGCCTCCTTTCTAGCCGCCGCGCGCGCGCTCAGCCCCGCCCACCGCGCTCCGCCAACCGGAGCCGCCCTCCGGATAGGCCCCGCCCCCGCGCTGCGGCCTCGGGTGTCAGACCGCCTTCCGGAAAGACCGAGAAAGTGCCTACGGGACCTCGCGGTCCCCGGCTTCTCCGGCTGGCTAGGTTAACCCTCGACCTCCCGACCTCGCCTATGGCGCTCATGGGCGCCCCAGTGTCTAGATTCCAGTCCAGGTGGCTGCTCAGGGTGGGCCAACTACAGAAACAGGGAAACAGCTGGGCCACGCAAAGCAAATCACCCTAACCTTTGGGCATCAGAGCTAGACCTGTGACTGTCCTACCCCAGCACACAACCCAGATCTCCCAGGGCGACTTCCCCCTATTGTACCATTCTCCCTTCTTTCCTCCCCTTTTATAACTATTCTTCTACACCCCCCTTTTTTTTTTCAGCTTTCTTTTCCTCATTTATTCATGACAATTCAGACTAATAATATTTTTATAGAGTTTATTTTGAAACTTTGAAAAAGTTTATAGCCAAAGGAAGACTCTTACTTTGTTAAATAATTTCTCTTTTCTTAACTAGAAAGAACATAAAAAAGCAGCAGTGTGAAGCTGTTGTGGGGGCCCAGTGTGGCAATGCAGTGTTGCGAGGAGCCCACGTGTATGTTCCAGGAATTGTGTCAGCTTCGAGCTGTAAGTACTGTAAGGTAAATAGTTCTCTAAAATTCTCGTGTATTATTGAATGGGAAGTTCATTTTATTTTACTGAGATGCTTTTCAGTTTTTGAAAAGGTATTTTCCAAGCTTTGCATTTAATATCGCCAATAAGGACTATCTGATAAGGATGAGCAAATTAGGTATGCATGTAAAGTTTTCTGTAATGTGTTTTTGCTCATAGATATCTAATGAGCAAGCCTGACGTGCTCATCCACTATTGAGTTCTTAGAGATTCCCATTCTACTTAGAGACTACTATCCTGCCAAAGAGCAGATCACTGTAACATGATTTTCTCCTTTCCTTAGTTATGAAAGCTGGAGATGTTATTTCTGTGTACTCCGATATTAAAGGGAAATGTAAGAAAGGAGCCAGAGAGTTTGATGGAACAAAAGTGTTTCTTGGAAATGGAATTTCTGCACGAAGCCGCAAAGAAATCTTCAGTGGCCTATGCGAACTGAAGTATGTCACTGGGTGTTATGGGAGAAACAAACATGCTTTCTATGTATCAAGATTATTAAAAATAATGTAAACATTATCTGGTTGCATTGTATGAATACGTCTTTAATGTTAATTCAATAGGAAAATATTTTATCCATAGTTCCATGATTTTTGGAAAAAATCTTACTATTTTAAAAAGGGTGAAAGATGAGACTAAAAGTCCAATTAAGACTAGTCATAATGTAATTATTAAATGATTTTACTTGTCCTTTTGAATTTTAATGATTTGAAAATTTTTATGTCTTTGAAGAACATTGAAGCTTATCTTGATAGAAAGTGAATTAGATGACTCATCTAGATCTGTTTAACATTTTAGTCAGAAAAATTTATAATTTTAATGTAAATTAAAAATATTTGTACCAGAAAACCAACACTCATAATGTTTGGATTTATTCAATCCAAAATAAAGATACAATTACTTCTAAATTACCTCTAGCCACTTGTGGCTCTGAATAAATTCATAGATAAACTAGGTTCATATTTTACTTGTGTTAGGAATGCTGTAGACAGCACCAGTGCTCCAAGGTTAACAACCTACAAAACCATGTCAATTTGTCTGTCCAGAACTGGACTAGAACCCTGGTCACTTTCCCATGTTGCAGAGGTTTTTCTGTATGTTTCAAATTAATTCTTCTAAAGAAACAGAACATTGAATGGAGAGCAATGAGATTAGGATAGAAGAAATAAAACTAAGTAGAAAGGAGACTGAGAAGTTGAGATTTTAAAATTCTACTTTTAAAAAAAACTGGCTTCCAGACAAGCTGTTTTCCTGCTTCTGGAGGCCACTCTAGTTTATGTCACCCTCCTTCCATCCTAATTTAATGTTAAATTTCTAAAGGCCCTTTATAATAACCTGTCCCCAGACACTAGGTACTTCTGCAAATCGCCCTGTCCTCCAACCCAAAAAGCAGCTGCTTTGGAGACAGTATGTCCTAACTCCAAACAGCAAATCTCCACTTCAGTTCATGTGCCACAGAGGATGGCGGGCCCTGTAACCCAGCAGACTGGGAATACATGCCCTGGATCACCGTCTTGAAGGCAGCCTTTAAATGTGCCCTGCTCCAGCTGGTAGCTGCCTCATTTTTCTGAGCACCCGCACTCCACTCTTGTATGTTTACCCGTACCAGGGATCAAACTCACGACCACACGCTTGCAAGGCAGGCACTTATGCCGCTGAGCTAAATCCCCAGCCCCCTCCACACTCCATTCTTGAAAGCATTCTCTTAGCTCTAATCAAACCTTCTCTGGCCTCTTTTATTGATGAGTCCTGAAAATTCTTTTTCTATGACAGGAGTCAACAAATCTACAGAATCACTTTTAAAAAGTAAATGAGTTAAGTTCCTTATTTTCAGCCTCAGGAACCCTCAGACCCAGCCCAGTGACAGTAATACTTTATAAACAGCCAAGAACTGATTTTGTTCTTAGAAGGCTTTGTGACTATAAAGATTATGTAGCTGTTGGCTGTGTGTGGATCTGTAATAAGAACTGGTATTTTGATTGCGTCTGTTAGTCATTATTAGTGGTATACTTTTCATTTGCTTACTTGATGTCCTGGCTACAGTTACTTTGCTGAGTAGTCTTCTCCCCTTCCCTTCCCTTTCCTTCCTTCTTTCTATTGCCCTCCTCTTCCCTCCCCGTCTTTCTCTTTCTCAGTACTGGGAATTATAACCAGGGCCTAAATATTGGTAGGCAGGAGCTTTACCATGGAACTGTATCCCCAGCCACTTTGCATTTTACTATGAGCAAAATCTCTCTTTGGTTTCCCAGGCTGACCTCAATCTTGCATTCCTGCATTAGTTTCTCAAGTCGCTGGGCTTATAGGAATTACACTGAGGTGCCAGGCTGTGAATAATGTTTTCTTTGTTGGTGGGAGAAGAAAGCAGCCATTTAAAAATAAAGTTGTTGGCTTTCTCTAACAATGTGTATATGCTCTCTCTGCCCTCAGTGGTCTCTGGTCACCTCTGTGATTGCCGTGCACGTCACTGCCTCCCCATGGCCTGGCCCTTCCCTTGTTTATCAGCAACACTGCCACTCATGAAGTGGGACAGACGTAGAAAAGATCATCTTCCAGTTAAGTCTGCCCTGGACAGTTACTCTATAAAAAGATGAGAGTAGTACTGTGCTTGTCACTGCTTAGCACCAGCAGGACTCTAGGAATTTTTTCAGCTTTTATACAAGTACCTAGAATAGTACCTCATAAACTCAATAGTCAAGAAATGTTTGTTGACTGGAAAGTTATTAACAGTGGTTATATGTTGGTTACTGGAAAGATTAGGACAATTCTGCAATCAGATATTCTTTACTTTTTAATTTATCCAGAATTCTAAAGAAACTCTTGTGCAAGTCAAAGTTTTGCCATTTTATCCTTTTTAATTCTGGCCTCTCCTTGAGGTCAACATTCAAAACCGATTCACAGCACTGTTCTAATTATTTACATGTTAGGTAAAAGTTATAAAAAGGCAAATCATTTTATACTTGACATGTTTGAGAAATGATGCTGTGTAATTGATGCGGGTTAATGTTAGGTTTCCTATTTTTCAGAGGTATAGGTATAAGAATGACAGAACCAATATATCTGAGCCCATCATTTGACAATGTACTGCCCGGTTACTTATTTTTACAGGTAAGTATTAAAGTAAGATATTCACGGACATTGAAACTTACTTCAGAGAATTTTCCCCCTTATATTAGTGCATTTTGTGGTTTATTTATATATAGTGTACATTATGATCTATCTTTGGTTAAATAGAGAAAATACTACAAGTACTCTTTTTTTTTTTCACATTAACTTTATTTATTTATTTGGTCTTTTTGAAGCAGGGTTTCACTGTACAGTTGAGGCTGGCTTTGAACTCACCTTGTAGCCCAGGGTGGCATCAAACTCACAAGGATCCTCTGCTTCAGCCTCCCAAGCACTGAGATTACAGACTAACTTTTAAATTGCTACTAACTGATACACATATTTGACCTTAATTTAAGTGTTCCTTTTGTAATTCTGTGTAAGATTCAAATACTTCACTGTTACCATATTTTTTTCAGCAGTTATGAATTGTGACAAACTATTTTGATGCGTATAACTCACATTGTTTTTAACAATCTGCTAGTTAAGTGATACTAGCAATATTTACAGTGTAAGATGAAGATACTATAATTGAATTTAGCCCTTGAATCCTTGTTTTGGAGCAAATAAGATTGAAGTTGACAAAACAGCAAGTGATATGGAATGACCAAATGTATGTGTATTAGAAACAATAAAAGAAAAAAATCTCTGTTAGTTGGAGAAAGATGGTCCTTAAGTTGGACATCATAGGTATTTAGGTCTTTTGGGTTTTTATACAGTTTTGGGGACTGGTATACCTGACAGAAAGCAGGATGTTACTGGGTGTAGGTAGACCTTCCATGTCTGAAAAGCAAGCTGTTGTATTTGCATTTTATTTCTTTCAAGGTCTGGCTCATTTGGTAAAGACCCATTCTTTGTCTCTTCCACTTCATTAGATCCCAGTAGTCTATTTTGTTATGCTAATTTATTTGTTGCCAGCCCCACCTCCCTTTCTTTAACTGTTCAGGACCAGTGCCCTCTCTTTCTAAATTCTACCTCCTGGCTTGCTTCCACCCTCAACATTAGTGACACTGACTGTGGTTAGGGTACAGTGGCCAGTGAAGGGTCTTGCAAACTACTTCTGCTGAGAGGGGCTATGGCTGGGAGCCAAAGAGCCCACTACTATGAATCCTATCTAAAGGTCCTGAATACAAGCCAGGAAGAGTGCTTGTTGGAGAGACTGTTTGCATCTTTAAAGCTGTTGAGGGAGAAGAAACAAATTTGATTAAGCAGTTGAGAAAAGATGGTCTAAATATCAAGGCTACAAGGAGCATTAATGTTGGTCCTGTTAGGGGAGTCAGAATGTCAAATTTTAGATCCCTGACCATGATCTCTATGACTTAGACAATATTGGTGGATCTTTGCAAGCACAGTTGGCTAGTTTTTATGTTATATCTCTTGTTGTGTCAAACTGACTGGCATAAAAGCAACATTTCTTCTTTATTTGGTGTGGCTCATTTAAAGATAATAAGTTTTATATAAGCATGTAAGTTTTCAGATGCAAGGCTATAGAAGGCCCTGTGTTAGCTTAGCTAGGTAGTTAAAAAAGATTCTTACTGAATTTGTAGAACTATTATTGTGGATTCTTAGCCGTATTGAACCATAATAGTGACAAGATATAGGTATAGTTGGACACTGTCAGTAGGGGCCAGCATATAGGACCTGGAACCCCTTGTATATTTACCCTGAATTATTATTAATATTTTTACATGGTTTGGTTCTATTTTCTGGCTGTGTGTTTAAGACCAAGTTTAAGTGATACCCATATTAATTAGAATTACCCTATGGCATATATAAAGGTCAATTAAGACACGACAGGAGTTACTTTTGGAATCACATGCAGAGCCTCTTAGCCCCTCTGCCAGTGTCATCTGCCAGGATGAGTTATGGCCTGTGCTAGACCACAGGACTCTCCTTGAAAGAATGGAAACATGTTTCTCTTTATGATCCTCCCTCTAGCATGAGGTCTTTTTTTTTTTTTTTTTTTTTTGGTACTGGGGATTGAACTCACCACTTTGCTTTTGCCAGGCAAACGCTTACAAAGAGGGCTCTCATGTATCATATCCTTGCTGACCTTGTAAGACCAGAACCAAAACGGTTGTTTTTAGTGCAGTTACATAATTAGCTTTGGTCTCAGAGCCTTTGTTGAATACCTAGGAAGTCAGTTGCAGCAGTATTGAAGTGAGAGCAACCATGATTGTCTTAGAAGTCAAAATTTTATCAAATAGTTGTAGATAGTTGGCATAATGTTTTTATAGGAAGTTTGAAATCACAAGCAAGATACATTTTAGCACAGCAATTGTGTTGATACTATTAGTTATGAACCATGGGCTATTTTTTAAGCAAGTACTATATATCTAAACTTTAGATATATAGTACATTTTTGTATAGCATGTACCTTATCACAAAAAAGAGCCATAGATTATGAGATGGGGTATTTGTTTACTATCACTTCTTTAAAAACCAGATTTGAAGCTTTGTCTTTTTGTAGCAGGACTGAATCTATACAGCAAGTCCCACAGAAGTTAGGACCATCTCTCAATCCAAAGAAAGCCTATGCATAGGCCACTTTAGCAAATCTACTCAAGACATAGCACAAGAGGAGATCTATCCTACTAGCGTAAAAGAGGGCCAAGCCAGTGAGGCTTAAGAGAAGACTCTTACCAGTGTCAGGTCGCTCTGGGAGATCACTGAGAGAACTTTACCTCACCGCACTGAGGAGTGCAGGTCAGGACAGTGGGCAAGTGGGTATCTTTCTACAGGGTCTGTGTTGGGCCGCTGGAGGAGCCTTTGGGTACTCACCAAGGCGTCATCCTGGCCAGGGCTGCTCAGTTGCTCCCTCAGCTTTCGCTACTTCCTCACAACCAGAGATCTGTCTTCTGAGAGAAATCCACCTTCTTGTCTGCTGACAGTACTGAGATCAGATCTAGTGGGTTGTTGTCTAAGGTCATACAACCACTTCCTGCCCCGTGCCATGTTCTCTGTCCTTATATTGGGGCAAATAATATTGGTGCCAACAAAACTGCAAGGAGCAGGGAATGACTGAGTGCTTATTTATTAGTTGGGAAGAATTAGAAGAAAGCTCCCACCCCAGTGTCCGGGAGGGGGTTCATCAAGGTAGAAAAACTGTAAGTGCTTAAGTGCAGGGTCTTTTATACAGCTTTTTGGTTCAGGTGAATGTGACAGGATGCAGGGATGCCGCTGGTGGTTGCCAGCCCTTTGATGCCCAGGAAGCAGGCTGTGTTGTCTGTTCAGCCTTCTAAGGCTCCTTGTAGTGTGATTAGTTACATTTGCTCTGCCCTTTGTATTGCATTAGGCCCTCCCTGACTTTAGGGCTTACTTCAGTTTAACTCTTCATGTTCTGTGCCCTGACTTCTTTTTACCTCCTGCCTCAGGCATATTGCTAGGAATTGGTAGTCTCAGCACAGACCAGGTGCATGTACTTTCTTCTCCAGTATTAAACCAAAAGAGATTTTACCAAGTAGCGATTCTTTCTGGGGTGAAAAATGGAAAATAATCTATGTATTGTCACCTAATTGTATAATTAGTGATATAACCAAATACATAATTTCTTAGGACTCATCTTTGGTTTGTTGTTTGCTTAGCTTTAGCTTTTTACTTGTTGTATAATCTGTTCTTAAGCACTTGTGATCATTTGATGACATAGCCTGAATCATTGTTAGCGAAATCTATACTGCTCACTAGCAACAGTGATTGCAGTATTGTTTTTCCCTGTTGCAAAATAAAAGACCACATATCTGCTTATTCTATATTTAGTTTGGAAAATAAAAAATATAGTACTGTGCAATTTTTTTCTTTAAATACCCTGCAACCTATAGTAAGATCAGCACAGCTCTTCATTTTAAAATCAGCTTAATGAGGACCTCATGAAGTACACAGTGTGAGACATACTGTGACTAATAATATACTAATGTACTTCGCAGCCAGGCAACATGGCAGCGCATACGTATAATCCCAGCACTTAGGAGTCTGTGGCAGGAGGATTGCCGTAAATTCAAGTCCAGCTTGGGCTACAAAGTGAGTTCAAGGCCAGCCTGAACTATGTAGTGAAACCTTGCCTTACAAAAAGGCCCCCAAAATTAATAATAATAGTAGTATTCTTTGCCACTCTATAAAAATGACATAAGACTTTACCGTTGGAGTAAAGCTTTTGTATTCGAGAGTGGAGCTGAACTTTTGTCCCTTCTTTTGCAGGAACTGTTTATGTAATCTATCCAGATGTCCAGTCGCTGACCAGTGAAACTTACTAAAGATGATAATGGCAGTAGTAGCTAACACTTAGTGTGTTTTACACTCACTATTTCATGCACTCCCCACAGACTTCTACTCTCACCGATAAGGAAATTGGGGCTTAAAGAAATGAAGTGTGTAGCACACAGTAGGCAGTTAGTATTTTTCAAGTGATAAACGAGTGGTTTGTTGAATACCACATCCGTAGAAATCAGCAAAGTCAAAATGTGAACCTAGATCTTTCTGCCCTGGAGCATGTGTTCCTGACTGATGTCAGTGCCCCACACATAACCCTGGGAAGGGCTGCAAAACAGGAGCAGATTCCCTGGCGGCATTAAGGACTCTGACCTACCACGGAGATGAAGTGCCTTGCCATAGCTGGGCAATGGGGGGTTCCCTGGAAATTTAGGAGCTTCACTAGGTCTGAGATGGATGCTGGAAATCGGCTTTTCATTTGTTTGTATATTTTGAACTTCATAAATGTAATGTGATTAAATCCAAGTTTGTGAACCACCCTAAAAGGAAATAACCTTTAGATTTCCCCAAATAGTAACCAACAATTGTTTAATATCATGCATTGGATTTACACTAAACTTCAAGCTTTATACAATTTAAACTTTATTTATTCCCTTAATTGTAGCAAATTCTCACTTGTCTATAGTCAACTTTTATTTCTTATTTGGCTTTTCTGTTTTCAGTTTGTCTTCCGTTGTCTAATTGTTGTACTTTGGGAAATAACATTTTCCCTGATGTGCTTCCACTATTGCAATAGACTGTGCTTTTTTAAAATTGGAATTCCATTATATAAGAAGGAGGCAGAATCCTTAGCTTTCTTATTTTGCTTTTCTTTCCCTTACTTATTGATGCTGTAGGCTGTCTGTCATGTGTCGCACAAAAGTTCACAGATGTATCAGACTGAGGGCATCACGTCTGCATCACATCTGTGTGTTTCTCATTGGCCTTGTTCATTTTGGTCACCTTTTTAACATCTCATTTTTCATAAAAACATAAAATCACTTTTTTTCCCTGTGCAACTAATAGTCTGTGGGGAGACTAAAAATTATCTGAATACACTGCTCATTAAAATTTCCTCTGAGATTTAGCATCCACCTATAATTATTGCCTGAGCTAGTCATGACTACAAGATGTCTTTTCCAACTTCAGCCTACAATTCTGTCTTAGTTTTCTTGTTGCTGAGACAAAATACCTGACACCCAAAGTTAAAGGAGGAAAGGTTTATTTTAGCTCAGTTTGTAGAGGTTTCAATTCATAATCGACCAACTCCAAGGCAGGGTGACTTTGCAGAGGTACATTGCAGAGGAAAAACGGTTCATGGCAGGCAGAAGCAGCAAGCGGCAAATGACCACAGCAGTCCTGTCTTTTATATCCTGTCCAGGCTGCCCAACCTCAATCCTAGCATTGCAACCTGAATCAATCCCAACACCACATTCTTGATCCCAGCAGCACACATCCTACATTCAGCCACCTCCAAAATGCTCTCTGCTATGTTCACAAGAGATTGAGGAAGACATCTAGATATAAGCCATAGCACCTCTATATTTAACAGCCAACATTTTAATATGAGGTCCCTCACACCCTATTATTTACTAACAGTATATACTGACAAATTTTTATTTTTACATAGTCTATAATTCATTATTGTCTTTATAATTATTAAATGCTCAAAGTGTCCCAGCTTTGGCTTATTCTCAATTTAGTTTTAATCCATATCATATACAACAATATTCCTAAACTGTTTTGTGAAAATGTAATACAAATCTAGTAAAGTTTGTTAAAATGCAGATTCTGACTGTATGTCTGGGTGAATTGTGAAATGTTATATTTCTGACAAGTTCCCAGGATTTTGGATCTCCTTGGTTTACGGACCACACTTTGAATACTGAATCAGTGGAAATGTATTTAAAAGTAAACACTATTTCTACAGAGCAAAAAGTAAAAACTTAACTGTTATGTTCATTCATCTGTTACATGATCTAAGACTGCTAATTTGTATAAATGTACATTATGTACACTTAGATCCTTAAAGTATAAAAACGCTACATATCATGGCTTTGTAATTAAGGAATTTTTGTCTCATGTGTCACTTATCAATTGTTAAGGTCTGATGCTTTTAAGTTGTAAGGGCTTTGTGCTACTTTTGGGATTAAATTTCTTGTAATTTATGGTATGTACAAGAAGATATCATGTTACAGTTTTTATAATAAAAAGGACAGGAGTGCAGGACAGGAGATGAAATCTCCACTTCCTCCTGGAAGGGGCAAGCTCTTTTTAACTGTGGTGCACAGGCTGGTGTCTGGTGTGTGCAATAGCAGGCATTCTTTAAATTAAAGGAGTAAGTGAATAAAACCATCTGTCTACTTTTCTGGTTCTGAATTTTAAAAACAGTAGGATTTGTATAGAGGTGGTGTATTTTGGCAGTGAGTGTTTATTAGTATGATACTAGCTTGATGAGCCCTGTACATAGCTTAGAGTTTCTACTTTTACCTGCTTCCTATTGGAGATGGAACAATACGAAATAATTGGTAGTTTTTAAGACAAATTTCAAGATAAAAATATTCTTAACTGATATACTTTCCAGTACCCTCTGATTTTAAAATGATCCAGTAGTCTTTAACAGAACAGATTTCGCTGGAAACACGTAAACACTGGGGACTGCCAGGCTGTGCAAATGTGTGTTACCAACAGAGCCAGTGAAGAAGGATTCCCTGGCTTTCACCACTCCACATTCCCCAGAGAGTTGATGGGTTTATCTCCCATACAAATAAGAAAACTAGGGCTGTTGATCCAGCTGCTAGTAGGAATAAGGCCTTCCCTCACCCTAGGCCTCAAAACTCAGCTGTTGGCACGGTAGAGACCTCCAGACTAGAGACTGTTTCCTTTTCGTAGTTTTGCTCATAATGTTCCTGGAACAGCCATTTAACTCCTGTGCTTCTGGATTTTGTCATTAAGAAGGAAAATTACCCCTACCCCAGCTCACTGAAGAACTGGAGAGGAAGTGGGGCTGTGCATACATTGAAACACTTGGTTCCTTGGGACAGAAGTTGCAACTGAAGTCAAAGTGATATTCTCGTTTGCTGCTTTCTTTCCTGTTTGCTGTGTAAAATCTGGCCAGTAGGAAAATCTGTGATGCTATTTTACTTTGATTCTGTTCCACCCTGTCCCATCTAACCACACCCAACCCAACTAACAGAGATGGACCACTGGACCTTTGCACGGAGCTATATCCCCAGCCCTTTTTTACTTTCCTTTATCTCGATTGTTTTTATTTTATTGTTACTTGGTTTTTGGAGACAAGGTCTTGCTTTGTAGTTCATGCTGGCCTTGAATTCACTATGGAACCCAGGCTGTTGTTGAACTTGGCTGATCCTCTTGCCTCAGCCTCTCAAGTACTTGGATTCCAGATGTGTGCAAACACACCCGCCTTCCCTTTTATATTTTGAGACAGGGTCTTGCTAAGTTACCATTTGCCTCTGCGGGACATGAACTTTTAGATCCTCCTGCCTCAGGCTTCCAGAGTGTTGGGGTTACAAGCATGTGTTAGCAAGCTCAGCTGTCCTTGGGGTTTTCAAAGTGTTTTTAAAATTTATTTTAAAAAGTTCAATCATAAACTGCATCTTCATGCAAGATGACATTCTCTAGTAATCTGTGCTATTGTTTTTTAAATTCGGTGTTTGCATGTATACTTTACTTTTCATTACTACCTGTTTGCAGTGTGTAGTGTTTGCATTCCTTGTGTGGAGTTGGTACACATACATAACACTGATAATTCCTTTTCCTCCCTCCCTATCTCTTCCTTTCCCCTGGCTGCCTGAACTGGCCTACAGCTTCAGAAAACTGATGAGTTTCTTGAATGTTCAGTTACCAGTGAACTTGTGAAAAGGAAGTTACACCTTGAAGAATTCATAGCTCTTGTTTGGTCACTGTAATTACTCTGGAGTGCTTTCAGTCCTGTGGTGGGTGGGCTCTTGAGTCCTCCCTGAGGTGGGCAGGGAGTGCACAAAATGAGACACAGTCAAAAGGGCGTAGTTTGTAGCAAGCGTGTTTACTCAGACACAGTACAGTGCACTCTGCAGGCTCAGTGTTACAGGTCAGGTAATAAATACACCCTCAAAGACCGAGAATGGGCACTGCCCAGATATGTCGAGGACAGTGAGGCCGGGTCAGGTTTTCTGGTTCTGTGTAGAATTTGGGCAGTGGCTAGGATGTGGTAATTAATGCAGCTTCCTTTCCATCAGTTGTGGATCTCTTGTCTGGAGGAGGAGTTTGTGCACCTGGTTGGAACCAGCACAGCAACCTAAATCTCTCAGTGCAGTCAAAAGCCCCAATAGAAAATACAAGTAAATGAGACCACCTGGTCAAAGGGTCACCACAACGTTACCAGGGCCCAGTGCCCTAAGGATGTGACTGGGAACAGCAGGTGTAACAGGAGTCAGAGGGGTAATTTGCAAGGGGCATGATTTGCTCTTCCAAGAAGTGCAGGGACCACAAACTCAAGAAATTTATACCGTGACTGTTCTTAGAACTTTTTCTTACAATCCAGTTTCTCAGATGTATAGGTTATTTCTGGCTGAACACATACTCTGTCATCATATTCTAGTTTAACTGGAGGAAAGAAAAATAATGCCTCAAACTGAACTCTGACTGCCTGTTTTCTTGCAAACATTTGATTAAAGGGTCAGAGAAAGGTGGACCACCAGGGAGCAGTAAATAAATTCTGCTATCTGGGCCCTAGCATCTGAAGTGTTTCAGTTATTCCTGGTTCAGGCCTGAGTTGGAACACTGAGAAGCTTCACTGGGTGGTTTTATAGCTAAGTTGGAGATGCACTGGCTAGCGTTACTGCACAGCTAGATGCATGTTAGAATCGCTGGGGAAGATTTTTGAAGCACCACTATCAACCCCATCGTTGGAAATCCTCATCTAACTTTTCTGTATGGGGACCAGATTTTTTCCTAAGCTCACCAAGTGACTTTATTGTGTATCCAGGATTGAGAACTACTTTAGAGGATGATAGCAATTTATTTGTAGAAAACTGCCATCAATTGACAATTGAATGAATGGAGTAGAAAATGTGTCCTGTGTTTTCTTTCTTTTTTCTTTTTGTTATTGGTCATCAAACTCAGGATCTCGTGCTTGCCAGGCAGGCACTTAGGCAGCTGAGCTAAACCCCTGGACCCTGTTTTCCTGTATGGATATGTTATGCAATTCTCATGAGATCATAGTATACTCTAGGAAACTGCAACTTTCTTGACTTAGTATGTTTGTAAAAACTGTTGTTACCAAATTTGAGGATACTGTGCTGAATTATCTTGAAAGTTTCCTTTACACTCTCTAATTCTGAAATTAGAATTGATTAGAGTCATTGAACAGTACTTGCATCATTTTTCTTATAGAATTTACCATCTGCTGTAGTAACTCACGTTCTACATCCTCAGCCCGGAGAGAGGGTTCTAGATTTGTGTGCAGCACCTGGAGGTAAAGCAACACATATTGCAGCACTGATGCACGATCAGGTGAGTCTGTCTCCCAAGAAAAGTCGTCAACATGCTACAGATTTCAGTGGTGAAGATGGGACTGTGTGTGACTTGGGATCACACTGATACCATAATCCAATTTACTTCCTGTTCAGCCGGAGTGAGGACTGTTGGGTTATGGCAGGCACTGTAGCTTAAGGTCAGTAGACAGCTGCCACTTATACCTGGGTATGGTGGCACACTGCTGTAATCGCAGACTCAGGAGGCTGAAGCAAGTGGATGACTGTGAATTCAAGGCCAGACTGGTACAAACTCAAAGGCTAAACCAGCCTACACAGTGAGACCTTGTTACAAAAAAAAAAAAAAAAAAAAAGAAAAGAAAAGAAAAGATAATTGCCACTTATTAAGACTGTCCTGACACTTATTTTTTGTTTGTTTGTTTGTTTTTATACAGCATCTTCTGTAGTTCAGGCTGGTTTTGAACTCCATAGGTAGCCTAGGTAATTATACACATATGGAGCTAATATATACACAGGTGTGTCTTAAGGATCTTATAAACTGTATGATCTGGTTTAATTTTAAAGCCTGTTTCATGAGCACAGAATTTAAGTAAGCCTGGCTTTTGATAACTTTGATTTCAGTTTTACTTTGTTTGCGTGTGTATTTGCTAAGCTGTTTCCTTTTTTTTTGTAGGCTGGATTTATCTATGTTCAGAAATCATTGGAGGGTTGAGAGTGTGGCTCAGTGGTAGTGTACTTACCTAGCGTGTGCTTGGCTCTGGGTTCAGTCTGAGATGAGCAGGCAGTAAACTGTGAGACCAGAGTCTAGGGGAGAGGTCTGCTTTGCACATAAAAATTTGGGAACCATCAACATACGGACAGGCTGATGGAGAAGAGAAAGGTTCCAAACAGTGAGCCATGTGAATAGTGAATACCAGCATTCATAAGTTGGAGATATAAGGAATGGCTGGCAGTGTAGGAGGGAAACAGAAGAGTCTGATTACCTGGAAACTGTCTGAGGAATGGTCGAAAAAGATGTTATGATTGTAGTACTAGTGTATATATAAGAAAGTATGTAACTGACGTAAAAAACTTACCTATGGCAGACTTACAAAAGCCCCTTTGCTCTAGCTGATTTACTTGATAGAAGATACTCTCACTTTCCAAAGTGATAAACTCATTTTTCATCTACATTTGATAATTCTTAACAGTCTCAAGGGACTTGCAAGCAATAGTTCATTGAAAAAAGTAGAAATATCTACCATTAGGTTGAAGCTATATATTTCCTTTTATTAATATATTAATTTTTTTTTTGAACCAAGAACTGAACTCAAGACCTTGTACTTCCCCCGCAGGTGCCATGCCACTGAGCTATACTCCATTAGTATATTAATTATCCAAAGAATTTGATGAAAATTCCCATTACACTTTAGTGTGTAACTTTAACTCTGTTAGAATTTCTGAAAATACAGTATTATAAGCCAAGGGGATAAAATATATATATATTATTTATATATATTTATATGTCTATACATTATATATTTTTACATATCTATATATTATGTTATATATATATATATATATAAAGATTCATATTTTAAGTAAGTAAATTGAAGGCCCAGGAGTACTATCTTTGCATTACACACACATTCACTATGTATATATGTACTATATATATTCACTATACATAGAATTTGCGGTGTCCCTGATACAACCTCAACAAGTAGCTTCAGTTTTAAGGAATCTCTCCAATAGAAAAAGATACCTGTTTAAATTTTGAGGAATCAATATGCATGATATTACATAGTGAGAAATACAGAAAAAATATACTTCAAGAATTTAGTAGCAGGAAAACCTTGATGGAAAAATGCCTTAAATGCTTGTAGTGCTTAAAATGAAATACAAAGGTTCATTTTATGGAGTTGTGTTTAATACAAATCCTTTTTTTAATCTATATGGAAGCTTAAATGTAGATTGATATGCTTTGAGATAGTGATAGTAATGCCCCGTATGGTGTAGTTCCTTGAAGTCCTTTTATTCTCTCTAGTAAGAGGTGTTTTCAACTAGTTAGTTGACTTTAAAATGCAATGTAAAAAAATATAAACTTAGTAGCATACACATAAGTGATTGTTGGGCTCAGGAGTCTGCATGATTCAGCTGATACCTTCGGGGCTCCTGGTCAGCTCCAGCTTGGTTAGGGGGTTCTGGTAATTTAGGGTTGAGTCATTCACTTGTATGGTTTTCAGTTTGTATGGCTTTCAGTTCTCTAAAGTGACTTCAGGTGAGACAGCTGTGGTGCTGCCCTGCCTTTCTGGTCTGTACTTTTTCTGCAAAGACAAGAGAGTGAGCCCACTAAGGGTAGTAGCTGGGGACTGGTGATGGCAAAGAGCAGAGTTGAGCACTCTGTTTCACCACATTTACCATGGCCCCCAGGGCCAAGCAAATGACAAGGCTGAGCCCCAGTAAGTGTCTGTCACAGTGTGGGAGCATTATCAGCAAATATTCTTTATTGTTGTCTATACTATAAATTTCTTTCTCTTGTGAAGCAGAGAATTTGATGTACATATCATATAAGGATGATATATGTGTACACATACATACGAGCAACAAAAGCAAGAAAAAAGGAATCAATCCACCATCTTATTTCATAATATTGTATCATTGTATGTTTAAAATATCACGTGAATGTCAACAATGCATGCCTATATGGTGGTGATCTCTCATTTTTATTGACTTTGACTTAACTGATGTGTTACCATATATGAGGATTTTTGAAATATTTTTAATACTGTTCCAGGTTGTTTTGCTGTGATACAGAGCTTTTTGGCTTCTGATTTTCTGGCTTTAATTGCTAGAACTCACAGAAATTTTATGTGAATAGCTCAAAATATTATAGAGGGCTGATTTTGTAAGTGGCATTCATTCATTTACCTATAAAGGCATTTTAGCTCAGATGTCTCATAGCATTAGTTCATGCACTTCTATAGGTGAACAGTCACATCAAATAAGTGATTTTAATGTTTGCTTTCAGTGGGTAGTGTTGTAGTTAGGGGCCGCAGGGAGAACAAGACACTGAGTACACATCACTGATAGTATTATTTTATGATGGTCACCTAGAGTCAAATACAAGAAGTGCAGGAAATCTGTCCACACATTGAGACCCAAGGAGTCCAGCTGTGGGCCTGAATCCTATAGCAGTACCCTGTGTGAGTCCAGCTGAAGCCCTAGAGCCCATGGCAGTGCCTCCCACGAGTCCCACGGAGGTCTATAGAGTCCATAACAGTGACTCCCGTAAGTCTGTTTTATGGATCTGCACTGGTAAGGCCCAAAGGTCAGTGGTAGAGGATAAAATATCTATGCCAGTGGAGTAAAGAATCTGTGCCAGTGGATTGGCTCCTACGCTGGAGCCAAGAAGCAACGCTCAAAGTACAGACCAGGGCTCCCCCACCAAAAGTACCACAGCCATCCTCAGCCCCAGTAAGGTCTGAATTCATATCAGGATGCCAGTGTGATAAACTTCTAGAGATTAAACAGCGCTCTTCTTCCCCTCTGTAGTCAGGAAGTGATGTTAACATAAGGACCAGAGTTCTCCCAAAGTGAACAGCAGCCACTCTGAACGACAAGGTCCTGAGCTCCTCCAATGGTAATGGCCAAATTCGTATCAGGGAAGCTGGCCATGAGAAGCTCCTCTAAGACAACCAATAGCTCCAAACAACACCACTTAGGAGAACCCACAGTGCCATGGTGTTTGTCTCCACATCCTTTTATGCTGGCAACTTTTATTTTTTCCATTTTGTTGAGTATTTTATCCAGTGCTATTACTTCTCCCTAAAGAAAATAAAATTTACAAAACAAAGCATAAATCCAAAGCACCACCACCATACAGGCATGCATTGTTGACATTCATGTGATATTTTAAACATACAACAATACAATATTGTGAAATAAGATGTGGATTGATTCCTTTTTTCTTGCTTTTGTTCCTCATATGTATGTGTACATATATCATCCTTTTATGCTGACCACCAGTTTTTATTCTACTACAAGTGCTTTTTAAGTTTGAGTAGGTTGCAAGCACTTTGAAGTTTTGATTCCTTGTTTCAAAGTAGATAGTTATAAGATTAGTTATCCGATAAGAGTATCTTTTTAAAAGAAAGACCTCAGTATTTGGTGTAAATTTGCCATGTGTTTGTTAAAGAATACAGTGTTAAAAGTACAAATGGGACCATATTTTTTCACAAGCTAATTTTGTATTTTCATCGCTGCTTTGGATTTATGCTTTGTTTTGTGAATTTTATTTTCTTTAGGGAGAAGTAATAGCACTGGATAAAATACCCAACAAAGTGGAAAAAATAAAGCAGAATGCTTTGTTGTTAGGACTGAATTCCATCAAAGCATTTTGCTTTGATGGAACAAAGGCACTTAAACATGATATGACTGAGGACACACAAGGTAAATTAAATTTTATTTTTTTATTTAGTGTAACTGACAAATCATCATTGTGTGTATTTGTGGATTACCCTGCAGTGTTTTGATACACAGTATGTACAAACATGGCATGATCAAAACAAGCTGATTAACACATCCATTATTTGTTTTTTGTGGTATTTGAAATTTTCGCTAAGCAGTCTTCAAATACATAATTCCCATTAACTGAAGTTGCCATGCTATGTAGCAGATTTCAACAATTTGTTTTTTCCTGTCTAGCAGGAAACCTCTACCTTTTGGACAGCACCTCCCTATGCCTGGCCTGTTCTCCCCATCTCTAGTAACCCTGTGCTGCTCTCTGCTTCTGTCAGGTTGACTGTTTTAGATTCTGCATATAACTGGGATCATACAGTGTTTATTTATTTGTTTATTTATTTGTTTGTTTTTGGTTGCTGCTTTATTTTACTCAGCATAAGGAACTCCAGATTCATCCATATTGTCACAAATAACATAATATCCTTTCGAAAAGGCTACTTGTGTGTGTGTGTGTGTGTGTGTGTGTGTGTGTACACCATTCTTCTATGCCGGATAGTTGAGTTGACTTCATATCTTGGCTATTGTGAATAATGCTGTAAGGACCATGGGGATACAGGTATTTCTTTGGCATACTGATTTTAATTTCTGTGCATATATTCCCACTGGTGGATTATATGGTCAGTTTATTATTAGTTTTTTGGGGAACCATACCATTTTCCATGATGATATAACTAATTTGCATCCTAGTAACACTTGAGCTGTCACCATTATGTTGTTTTTTAGCCATCTTATCATGCATAACATGTTATCCTGTGATGGTTTTGATTAGCATTTCCATAATTAGTGATGAGCATCTTTTGATGTACTGTACTTGTCACTGTCTTCTTTTGAGGAAATATTCTTGTCCTTTTCCCATGTTTTAATTGGATTGTCTTCTTATTTTCCAGTTATTTGATTTTTTTAAGTGTTTTGAGTAGTAGCCTCCTGTTGGATGTATACTTTGAAAATACTTCTTCCCACTGTGTAGTCTTAACTTTGCTGTGCAGAAGCTTTTTAGTTTCACATAATATCAGTTTTACTAGGGGCTGGGGATTTAGCTCAGCGCCATAAGCACCTACCTTGCAAGCAGGCAGTCGTGAGGTCGATCCCTGGTACCAATAAAAACGAAAAAACCACAAAAAAAAAAAAAAATCAGTTTTACTTTTGTTGGCTGTAATTTCAGGGTCATATTAAAAAATAATTGTCTAGAGTAGTGCTGTGAACCTTCTCTGTGTTTTTTCCTTACTATTGTATTTTACATTTTCCAGGTCTTTAATCCATTTTGAGTTTATTTTTATATAAGGCATGAGATAATGATTGCTTCATCTTCCACAGGCAGATACTCAGTTTTTCTAGCACCGTTCTTTTTGTTGGTGTTGTAGATGAGATTATTTTCTTAATATTTGTGGAAAATATTAATGTGTGGAAACACTGCTGATTTTTGTATGTTAATTTTGTATCTAGAAACTTTACTAAAATTTTTTATTAGGCCTAATAATTTTCCCATGGAATTTTTAAGTTTTTTTCCTACACAAGATCATGTCAGTAACAGACAGATGGTTTCATTTCTTTCTCTCACCTAAACATTCTAGTACTTACAGTACTGTGTTGAAAAGCAGTGAGAGTAGACATCTTGGTTTACCCTCTATCTCAGAGAGAAGCTTTGAAGTTTTTACCATTCATTTTGTTATTATTAATGCTATGGGCTTGTTACAGCCTTCCTGTGCTCAGATATATTTCTTGTAGAGCTTATTTGCTGAAACTTTTATCATGAAAAGGCTTTGAGTTTTATCCAGTGCTTTTCCTGCCCCTATTGAGATAATCAAATTGTTTTTGCCTTTGCTCTGTTAATGCAGTACGTCACATTTATTTTGCTGATGTATATAGGAACTGTGCTTGCATCCCTGGAGTAAATGTCATTTGGTCATGTTCTAGATTCAATTTTTGAATATTTTGTTGAGGACTTTGGCAGGATTTTGAATATTTTTGAATATTTGAGTATTTTCAATTTTTGAATATTTTGTTGAGGATTTTGTGTTTATGAAGGATATTGAAGTAATTTTCTTCTATTCTGGCTTTTGTATTGGGGTAATGCTGGCCTCATAAAATAAATTTGGAAGAATTCCTTCTTCGGCTTTCTGGAAGAGTTTCAGAATGACTGGTATTAGTTTTTCTCTATAAACGATTAGTAGCATCTACTAGTGAAGGAATCAAGTCATAGGTTTTTCTTTATAGATTGAGTCTATTTATTTAGATCCTTGGTTTCTTCACGATTCAGTCTAGGAATCTGTTTCTTCTGGGTTACCGAGTCCATTGTTGTATAATTGTTCATAGTAGTTTTTTATAATCTTTTGCTTCTGTGGTATCGTTTGAATTTTTTGTCTAGTAATTCATAGATAGGCATTCCTTGAGTTGTGAGTTCCTGGTACTTTTTGCTTTGTTCCTTTGTTGGTGCCATGTTTCTCCATTTGTTCTTAATCCTTCTGGCTATGGATTTGTGTTTGCATATTTCAAGAAGCAGGGATTTACAGTCTTTGCAAACTGGCTTTATGTAGGAATGAGCCTTCCAGCTCATCTGTCCATTTTGAGAAACTCAAATCACACTGTCTGTGAGCTGTTTTGCTGCTGGAGTCACTGGACAGGGTGATCTGATACCTTGGGTCAGCCCATGTAAAAACTGGACCCACGGTGGTGGACCTTCAGGTCAGTCGTGCAGCAGTTGTTCTAGAACCTACAACAACACAAGCTTCCCTGAAGATGATGTAGAACTAGATGACTGAGCTTGAGTACAGGCTATTGCCTGGGGCTAAGATAGTCTTGGTTCCTGAGTCCACATGGGGCTAATCTGTCAGTAGGTTGGGCCTGCAGCTTTAGTCAGGGCATTGGGCAGGTCCCTACGGTTGGCCTGAAGTTGCAAGTGACATTGGTGGTCCTAGAGTACTGACGGGGAACTTATGGCATGCGTTCCATGGCAGGCATGCAGAACCCTCTCTCAGTGTGCGACCCAAGTGTGTAAGTTGTTTTTTCTAAACTGAAACATCAGTGTTTGGGTTTAATTGCAGTGTTGGGACTTTGCCACAAATATTTGATTTTTGGGTTGCAGCTTGGACACTTGATTTCTATAAGGTTCACCATCACTATCCTAGAGCCTCAGTGTGTGGGGTCCTCCCTAGCATCAGAGGTTAATAGGGCAGGACTGGATTTTTTGTCCACTGGAACAGGCCTGGAACCTGGGCCCACTAAAGTGAACTTGGAACAGGAACAGACATAGACTCTGGATTTGTGGGGATCAGTCTGACATCTGCGATCATAAGTGCTGCTCTTGTACCTGAAACCATAGTGACTAAGCTAGAGTCTGGTGCTAAAGGTACTAACCAGGAGTCAGAATCCACAAAGTCTGTTTGATTCCTGGTTTTAAAAAAATCCACAAAGTCTGGCTTAGAGTCTAGGTACATATTCCTGGTCTAAAAATACCCACAAAGTCTGGCTTAGAGTCTGGCTTAGAGTCAGGTACTGGCCTGGTGGCTAGGTCCATAAGGTTTGACTTAGGTCCTGGCTGCACGCAGCCAGCCTAGAACCTGGATGCTCAGGGTGTTCCTGTTGCTCTGCTGGAGCAAGCTGAGGGTCTGGGGCTACTTAGACTGGCCTGGAAAGTGGGGCTATGGCTGCCTGGTACTTGGTTTGATGAGGATGGGGCTGGTAATAGAATATGCTCTTGATGACTTTGCTTTCCTTCCCCCAAGCAGAGGATTTTTCTCTATTCTGTGTTGCCTGGGGTTGAAGGAGAAGTGATGTAAGTGATGTAAAAGTGTTTCTCCTACCCTCTTTGATGTGTCTTTTCTTATAATAAGTCTCAAATAGGGCAGACAGAGGATATGCCCAAATACAGACAAAAATACAAATGACCAATAAATCAAAACCACGTTTAATGAAGACTGGGAGAAACAAGTATACATAAAATTTAAGGGTAGATTGATGTAGCATTTCTAGTGGGTTTTACCAGTATATGTCCAAAAAATAATTTCTTAGGAATTTCTTCAAAAATAATAGATAAGAGAGCAAAGATGGTTACAGAGGGAGATGAGGTAGATAATTGCTTTTATCTAATAGCTTTGAAATCAGAAAAAAGCAGATGACATTAGGGTGAAATTTGAAATGATGCTGTAGGTTCTATAGGAACAAGTAACTTTAAATAAAAATGTCTTACTTGTAGGGATCATATAAAGATATGTACAGACCATTTTGTTTCATGAGTTCTCCAGATCAGGAATTAGACTAATTTGCAATTAGAATAATTGCAAAAATTATTCCAGTGAATGCACAGGGTGCTCTGTGGAGGACTGAATCCAGGCTCACTGTGGTCCACAACCAGGGTGATACTGACAGCAACAAGGAGACCAAGGAACAATAGAGTGAGAGCCACTACCTGACAGACTCATTTTCTGGAGCTGTCCCCAGTAGGAGTTACCAAGAGAAATCAATTCCTAAAATAACTAGAATTAATTCTGAGTCTTAGCTCTGATGAACTATGGTTTCTAAAGTAGGGAGTGTAGGATCTCATTTGATTGCATCTAGGTTTATACTATATTAAGGAAAAACCCAACAGTAATACCCATACTTTTATGGATGGCATGGTGGCACATGCCTGTAATCCCAGCACTCAGCAGGTTGACTCCTGAGGATTGCTGTGAGTTTAAGGCCAGCCTGGGCTACATAGTGAGTCAAGGCCAGTCAGAGCTATATAGCAAGACCTTGTCTCAAAACAAACAAGCAAATTCCACATTTTTAAACTTTTGTTCAAACTCAAATCTATATTAAACATAAGTCAATCTTAGCTTTACTGGCTGCCTCAAGGGAATCATTATTTTTTATCCAAAGCAATACTTTGATCTATTGTTTTGGTTTTTGTTTTGTTTTGTTTTGTTTGCTTTTGGTAGTACTGGGAATTGAACCCAGAACCTTCACACTGAATTAGAGCCACAGCCTTTTTATTACTATGGAGTTTGAGACACGGTCTCCTAAACCACAGCATTAAGATCCTGGTTGTTGCTTATATCTGGAGTTTTCTGTTCTAGACCAATATGACAATTAGCAAATATTTTTATATTCGCTGTATAGAAGGACCTCCATTCTCACCAGAATCTTTTGACCGAATTCTCCTTGATGCACCCTGCAGTGGAATGGGACAGAGACCAAACATGGCTTGTACTTGGACTTTGAAGGAAGTGATGTCATATCAGCCACTACAGCGAAAACTCTTTTCTGTGGTATGTGATGATCTTTTGCAGTGAAGGATGTTGACCTTGGGTAGTTTGAAGTTTAAGCCACTGGGGGCAGTGTTCAGAGTAGTGTTATTCACAGTAGCCAAAAGGTGGAAACAACCCACAAATCCATTAACAGAGAAATGAATAAACATATCCATACATGGAAGATTATTCACCCTTAAAAAGAGGTGAAATTCTGACATAGGCTCTAATGTGGATGAACATTGAAGCATCAAATAAGCCAGACATAAAAGGAAAAATGTTTTATGATTCCACTTATATAAGGCTCCTAGAATGACAAATTCATAGGAAGTAAGCTAGAGGTCACTAGCGAGTAAGGGATGGGGAATGGAGATTAGGGGGTTCCTGGTGTGGTTACAGAGTTTCTGTCTGAGGTGAGTTTCTGTTAGAGATGACGAACAGTTCTGGAGACATGTAGAAGTGATAGCTGCACAATGCACTTAATGCCTTTTGAATTACACACTTAAAATGGTTAACATGATGTTTTATGTTATGTATATTTTATTTCACACAAAAGACTGAGAATGCCTAATTTAAATACAGAGAGTTTTCCTTTGTGTCAACTCACCCTTTTTGTATTTTACTTACTTTTTAGTACTAAGGCTTAAACCTAGGGCCTTTGCACTGAGCTCCATCCCAGCACTGTGTAAATTTGTAACTTTGAGACAGGATCTCATTAAGTTACTTAAGTTGTGCAGGCTGGGTTTGCATTTGCATATCTCCTAACTCAGCCTCCCAGAGTGATGGGCTTATAGGTATGTGGAACCCAGTAGTGTATCCTTTCAAATACAAGACGATGGTGAAATTTCTTCCTGAATTATGTAATGAATTTCAAACATTGTGGTCTGTGTTTTTTAAAAAGTGAATGGTTCACACAGTTAGTAATTGACATAAAGAATTGATGCAAAATGAATTGTTTTTTATTGGGCTCCTGAGTCAGCTGATGACATTAAATGTAGAAAGTCAATGAGATGCAAAAGATTACAGTAGTGAATAGCAGCATCCAGTAAAAGGGCCATAAAAACTTTGACAATTAACTGATTTCCAGTGTGTGTTAGAAAAAACCCAGATAAAACACTCTACTTCTGTGATTTCACTGAGTATAGACACCCTTTGATCAAAGATGAATTCATTATTTCTTCTTAGCCATTCAATTATAAATACGTAGAGGAACACAACAATGGGTGTACTATAATTATTTTGTCTCTTAAGTTGTCCTTGGGTACATTTCTATGCATCTCTCCTTTCCAAGTTCACAAAAGTAGCCACTCCTTATGGATTGTGTAACATTTTTTCTGTAGTAGTCAGAAAATACATAGAGTTAGAACAGCAGGCAGCAAACAGGAAGTTTTACATATACCTGCAAGCCACCTGGATTTAAGAGTGAAATTAAGATCCCAGTTTAAGGGACTTGGGTTTTGTTCTTTTTTAGGGTATAGCAGAGAAGGAAATTTTAAAAGATTCTAGAGATAGATTTATGATTTCAATAAAAAGGAATATCTGACCTGTGAGAAACAACGTGACTATAGCAGGTGTGCCACTGGATGAATACAAATTGAAATGGAATGTGCATTATTTAGTTGGACACATCTTGATTTGAGCCATGGCTTCTTCACCTAAGTGACTTTAGTTATGCTGATTTCAAATTCAGAGAAATGAGCATAAGGACTCAACCTAATAGGAACTGCACTGCAAATAGTAATCTTACCTCATGGTTGTTACAAGACTATCAATGAAAAGTATTTAATAAACAAATTTATACAAATAAATAATAACAAAGTTTAAATTTCTCTAGTGTGAAGAAACCACAAACATTTATGCTAAATTTTAAAAATAAAATATAGGTATTTGAGACAAATTCATGCTAGTTTAGCACTTTATTTGCTGATTTATTTGCTTGACACCGAGCGCCTACTGTATGCAAGACATCACGCTATGATCGGTGTCAATAACACAGAAGTAAAAAAGTCGACAAACGATTCATACCCCTGTTTTCTGAGTTTTCCATCTCGGGTTGTCGGGGACAGTGAACAAGTGAGTGAGTTGTTCAGATTATGACAGGCCCTGAGCTAGGAGCCTGCGGAGAGAACCAAAGCAAGGCAAGTGCGGTAGCAGTGCTGGACTGTAGCATTTGGGATGTCACACAGGGTCAGGAGGAAGGCTGCTGTAAGGGGACATGGAGCAAAGGTGACCTGCGAAAGGAGTACGCAGTGTGGGGAAGGAGTGTCCCAGAGTTCCAGCCGGGCGAAAGATCCCGAGGTGGGGCGAGCCTTGCCGAGTTCCAGAGACAGCCGGAGGCCAGTGGCTCTAAAGCAGGACACGAGGTACTGTAGAGGAAGCCGGCGGGCAGGCCTCCGGAGGACTTGCAGCCTCTCTAAAGACTTTTGGCTTTGACGCTGGGTGGCAGTGGAAGGGCACTGGAAGGGTGTCAGGCTAAGAGGTGACCAGTGGGACGCTGCGCTGCACTCTGGCTTTGGATTGAGAATAAGTGGTCAGAAGACAGGAGGGAAGCAATAAACTAAGTAGGAGACTGTGTGAGTCCTCTAAGAAATGAGGAGGGCTGCACCAGAGTCCTGGTGGAGGCTGGGAGAGAACCTACAGGATTTGGGGACGCGTGGCGAGTGTGAGAGGCGTGAAGTAGAATCTGGGCTGGCGCTGCCCACCTCGGAAGGATGGGAAGACTTCCACGATAGGTTCCGGAAGCCGCTTCAGACAGCGGCTCATTTTGGGACATGAAGTGTTGAGGAGGCAGCTGGATATGAGTGTGGAATTCAGAAAGAAGGCGTGGCCTAGCAATGTGAACTTCGCAATTTTTGAAATAAGGTTGCTGTCTGAGTGGATGAAACTCTGGTGTTTGAGAATCCTGGTCCAAGTGAAGCACGAGAGCGCTAAGGCGGGAAATGCAGCTGATCTGGGATGCAAGGATTGTGCTCTGCTTACTTACCATGGAGAATGTCGTTCTTCGTTTTATTTCTCAGCTATTTGTAGGTGTCACCCTTTATGCTGTAAAGTCCCTTCACTTACGTGGCCTTGTGGTGTACAGGACTGACTTAGTTCTCTCTAGGCAGCCCAGCTGCTGAAGCCAGGAGGCATGCTCGTTTATAGCACGTGCACTATCACCCTGGCAGAAAATGAAGAGCAGGTTGCCTGGGCCCTCAGCACATTTCCTTGCCTCCAGCTTCAGCCCCAGGTAAGAGTGGTTTCAGTTTTTCTCTGTGCAGGGTGACAAATCACAGAAGTGGAAGTGTGGTGATAGGCGCTGGGTGTTACATGCTGAAATATGTGAAGTAAAACTTATGAAACAAATACCTTAGTAAACAAGAACATTTCTCCTTTTAGATCACTTTTAGATGGCCACAGGGAATTTGCATGTTGGCGACAGACTGTTTTCCCCTTATGTTTTGCCATTATGCTGAAATGACACAAAACTTTGGTGATTTTTGTTACGTGTTTATTCTACTAATAGCTGTCTTTCATGGGACTTGGCATTTGGGTTTCAAAGTTGTTTTTCCTCGTTTCTAATCCCATATTTTTCTCCTAACAATATATATCAAGTATTTTTGTCTCAGGTCACATCTAAGCCCAAACATACTTCACTAACTGGAATATCCAAAGACCAAAAAGGGCTGTATAGAAGGGGAATGTTGAGGATTATTGCTTTTTTATAATTTGTTATATAAAAACCTAAGCTTTAAGCTTTCTTGTACTTGGCACTAATCTAATTTTATGATTCCGAAGACTACTTATGATTCAAATTTAAGCCATAGAAATAAGTAATCCAGAAATGGTTTCTAGACTCAGAAGCCCTAGATGAAGGGAAGACTTCAGAATTCACTTAGAATTCATACTGAAATGTCAATCTGTATTCTTAAGTACATATCTGAAAACTTATCTTTATTAATACATAAACGTGTGGCTGTGAGTGATGACTCAAGTTAGTTATGGATCTTTTGTACTTGTGCTTTGCAAGGACCACTGAATTTGTTTGGATTCCATATAACTCAAAGCTAATGGATATAGCCTTAATTTATTGATCCTTCACTAATACGTGTTCTCCAAGGACATGTAAAACCAATTGGATGGGTCAGAGAAACGCATTTTTGATATTTGAAGAACTTTTTTCAGAAGTGTGAAAAGAACTAAGTAAAGCTGACTTTTATCTGTTACTTTATGGATAATAACGTTCCATTTACTGCATTCTCAGTGTATCCCAGGCGTGATGCCATCTCTCTATTTTAGTTCAGAACTTAGCATTTTATCTGTTTTATAGATCTGAAAAATTGGGTTTAGATAGAGTTACCTACTTAAGATCACACAGCAAAAATTTGACGGAGCTGCAGTTTCAGTTCAGGGTTTCTAACTGGAGTTCAGGCCTTTTACAGTGTCACCCAGTACCTGGTAAGCATGCAGGACGTAAATGGTCTTCCTTTCGTTGCGTGAACACATAGTACCGCTTTTCTGTTCTACCACTCAAAAGCATCATGTACGTTCCGCAAAGTAAAAGCATTTACTGTTCTCTGTTTTGGACGACGTGATAGGTTTAACTCAGTTTGTCTCTTTTTTTTTGTTTTTGTTTTGTATTTTTGAGACAAGGTCTTACAATCTAGCCCAGGCTGGCCTTGAACTCACAGTAGTTCTCCTGCTTCAGCCTCCAGAGTGCTGGGCTTATAGTCATGCGCCACCACCCCAGCTTTTAGTTAATCTTTTAATTTAATTGTTAACATGTGGCAGGGACAGCATTCATCCACCTGGTTTTCTCCTAATAGGAGCCACGGATTGGAGAAGAAGGGATGATGGGAGCTGGCTTATCACTTGAACAGTTGAGATAGCTGCAGCGATTCGATCCATCTGCTGTGCCATTACAGGACCCTGACCAGGATGCTCTTAGAGATGCCACAGCAGAAGACATGATCCGGCTGGCAAATAAGGATTGTATAGGTTTTTTTATTGCAAAATTTCTAAAATGGAAAAGCACATCAGAGAAGGATCCTCAGAAATGAAAATTCCACATCCTTGCTTTCTGTTCTATTCCCCTCATATCTCTTAAACCAGAGTGACATCAGGCCACCTAAGGATAGTATGGTTGCCAAGGAAACAGGAGATGGCCGGTGGTTTCACCAGGACTGCCAGTGGTTTCATCAAGACAGAGAATTGTGTGTATGGGTGGGGGTTGTGAAATTATGTTCTGGACTGAAAAAATGTTTTCTAGGATTCAGTAGTGTATAAAGCAAAGGAGCTACTTATGGATGCCTGTAACATTTTCATTTGGGGTCTTGTTTTAATTAATAAAGAATAATACTAAAAATTAGTATTTAATATGGTTATGAAAAATTATTTTGTGTTCTCAAGTTTCTAAGTAGTTATTTCCTTAAGAACTAAGGCTTGGAAAGTATAATATAATATTTACCATGTGCCAATAACTTGAGGTAAGTATTTTACTTGACTTTTTATTGTACATTAACCCTCTTTTAAATGAAATCAGGACCTCTTGTAAATGATAGTCTTGAAACCAGAAAGTTGAATATTGTCCTTAGTTGTACATAAAAGTGAAAATCTTCCACGTTTGGGTACTTTGAGCCTGTGCTGGAATGCCAAGGCAAGTTGCTAGAAAATACTCAATGAGAATGAGAAAACCAGCTTGTGACACTCACAACTGTCCCGGCACTCTCACAGCAGGGCTTGGTGTTCGTTTCTCAACAATGCCAACCTCAGCTATGATGACTGACTATGAGAGATTAAAATCTAAGTGCAGACAAACCAAGCACATCATCCAAGCAATAAAGGGACCAAACATCCCTCCGTGGTGGCCAGTGTGTCTGTTTTTAAAACTTAATTGTAGCCTCATGCTTGTTCTTTCCTTTTACCTGCTTTTTAGGTAAGATCTGTTAAAATATCCAGTGCAGCTATAGATTAAAGGCTATAAACACCTCAGAGTACGTTGTTGGTTTTCATTCAAGTCACCCAAGTTACTGGGCCTTGGATGTATGAAGTAGAAAGTCAGAATCAGTTACCTAATACTAGTTTAATTTCCTCTTTTCCTCATAGGTTTTCTTTAAGAACTTCTCAAATGACTTACTGTTGCCAAAAGATCAAAAGGTCTTGTACGTGACGTAAGATCCTTTGAGAGCTTTTCTGGTACACTAATCTCTGAGCTTTATTTACAGCTTTGGTACCCGTATCTTCTCCTGTCATGCCCCTTAAGACATTGTTCACCAGTCAGGCTCCTGGAGTCTCACCACCATGCTTCGAAAGCATCCTGGACGCAGAGAGCTTTAGTTTTCTATTTTTAATAGCATGAGAGAAAAGTTCCTGCGAGCTTCATGAGATTCCGATGGTTTCTCTGCATCCTTCATCCTGCCTGTACATCTTAATAAGTGTCATTTGACTAAGCAGAAACTGTCTACCTGTGGGCACTTGTGTTTTCAGAGCTCAGCCTACTTCCTCAGATTTAAATGTCTTACAAGAAACTGCAGAATCTCTTTCCTTTTATGTGCTGGGCGAGGGTGAAAACAGTGGGAAAGCAGCCTGGCAGCAACTTTGCGTTGTTTATTTTGGGTAAGTACCAGCAAATGTGAAGATATGAACAGTGATAGCGAACAGAAAGAGTTTGCGCATTTAAAACAAAAGAAAAAGAACCTTGTTGAAATTTTTTCTTTAACATGCTCAATTTTCAGTGAGTTTCATCGCCATTTTCAAAACAGCAGAACCACAGTAGACACTGCTTCTCTATGATCAAATGATACTTGCAGGCCTGAGACAGAGTGAGAGACCCAAGTAGTCACTTGCATCTTTTACAGCTTGAAATAGTTTTTCTGCCATAGAATCTGTTGCCTGCTCAGAAATGGTGACAAAAAGTAAACAAATTGGAAAATAAAACACGTACTCATGGAACACAGAAATGTAAAAACAAGTGCATTGAAGAGGAAAATCCAGTAAATGCGAGGAATTAATGTATGTCTCTACATTGTTTTAATATTTGTAAGAAAGCAAAAATATTTAAATTCAACAGTGAATACATTTTATTCAACTCCTTGTGTTACATTTTAGTTTTCTTTTCCTTCCTTCCTTCCTTCCTTCCTTCTTTCCTTCCTTCCTTCCTTCCTTCCTTTCTCTCTTTCTGTCTTTTTGAGACAAGGTCTTGCTATGCAGTTCACGCTGGCCTTGGGCTCACATTGTAGTCCAGGTTGGTCTCAAAACTTGCGTATGATCCTCCTGTCTCCACCTCCCAAGAGCTGGGATTGCAGCAGTGGGCCACCATGCCCAGCTTGTTACGTTTTAAATAGCAAAGTGCAGTACAAATAAAAATATACTTTGGCAGAAATTAAAGCTGGCCCAGAATCCATGGTAGTTGCCTGTTTTGTTTAATAGTATGCTCCTACTTTAATGGCATCATGCATCCCAAACTAGTAACAGTACATCACAGAACAGAGGGGAGAGGATGAGCTGAATGTGTCACTAGGATGGGCTTCACTTTAAAAATGAAAATTCAAAATATGAATAATTGTTGCACAGATAAGGTGGAACACGCTTACTGAAGCTCATATTTTTAAAAAATCTTTTGTTTTCCTTGAGTTCCTTTTTTTAAAGTCAGCTATGAGAAGATTACTGAAGGAACATCAGCTGGTTATACGTGAGATGAACCACCAGTCGTAGGTGCTGGGAAATATGTCACATTCTGAATCTAAAGGTCACTCCTTGAGAATTAATACTACTAATAAACAGTGCAGAAGGCTCTTTATTCATTTTACGTGAGTGACTTGAAACCAGGTTTGTTAAACAGCTCACTGTAGCTGACAGTGAATGTTTAGCAGGAATGCGTACCAGGCTCTCATAATGTTGTCCCCAAGTACAGTATGACTAAGGCATCCTACATTTAGCAGCACCTCTTTCTAACATCAAGTTAAAAGAGAAATAGAGAAAGAACGTAGGAAGAACTGCAGTGGTTTTGACAAACGATTAAGTACACTTCTACAAAGGAGTATCTGAAGAGTAAGCCTTTGCCCTGTGAAGACTGTGTGTCATTCCACATATGCTTGGGGTCATTTCTTCTTTTGTGGCTTCACTACGTCCTGTTTACACACTGACCCACTGGTAGTCTTCACATGCTGGCGTAAATGTTCTGTATCAAATCCCTCATGGAGTTATTTGGTGAATAGTCTGGTTTGCACTAACACGTCTGCAGTAATGTGAGAAACTTAAGAATCAGGCACAAAATTAAGAAGACGGACTCTTATTAGCACTGTCTGTGGCTGCTTTGCTTTGTTCTGTTTTTTGGTACGGGGACTCACACTCAGGACCTTGCACTACCGGGCGGCCGCTGTGCCCCTGAGCTGTATCCCTGGCTCTTAGCACGGCCCTTTGAAAGGGGTTAATGGTAGCAGCAAGGAGGATCAATACTGGTTGTATTTAGATGGGAAATAACACATGAGGAGAAGGGTTGGACTGATGATCAACATCTTATGGTGAGAGTTTACGCAAAATGTTATATAAAAGCAATTTTAGTTGAAATGTGGTTACAGTTTTCTGATGAGGTAAAATTTTGCCAGAAATTAATGACTGTTTTTATACTCTGTAGTCGTATAGACAGTAGTGAGATAACTGGTTCTAAGAGAAATTTTTCATATATTAGCTTGTAAAACACTATGTATAACTTGCTTTTTAAATTTTACTGTCCTCAGTGTGGAAGAATCATTAAAAATGTGAAACTTTTAAAAGTCCAAGAATATTGGACAAGAACCTGGGTCGGTCAGAGTAACAAGACATGGTGACACCATAAGCAGTTATTTGAGGAATGGAGATGGTGTTCTAGATTTCCCTTCAGAGTAGATGCGTGATGTTGGAAAATATTATTTGACTCACTCTAAGTCTCCCCATTTTGTCCTGGTACCGCCTGAAGAGCAGAAATGTTGGTTAGAAGAAGCACTTCTGTGTTCTTACAGACAGGGAAGCTGGTCAAGCTGGTGATGTGGAGGAACAGCAGGTAACTGGGGGGTGCGCAGCAGGAACAGTAGGCAATGTTAGAGAAGGGGCTGGGAGGAGTTAGGAAACAATTCCATAAGCATGTAAACGTCTCTTACTAAAACAAATACTTGAACACAAAGATTGTACCTTTCCAGTGAGACCCTCACGGTACAAATCACCTGTAGTTACACAATAACAAGGAGACAGCAGATAAACTTTCCTCGTTACCTGTGGCAGAAGGCTCCCTTGCATTCTCTGACTGCTCAACAAGTTGGCAAAACAGCACACAGCACAATTACGTCCAAAGCCAGGAGGGCGGAATTCTAGATTTCAGTCTCTTAGTTCTTCATTAATCTTCAGCATTCCACTTACACACTTATGCACAGACACACATGCACGTGCATACAGTGGGGCCAGTGCTGTGACTATCAGGCACTAGCTACTAAGAACACATTTCTCACAATCAGTGTGAAATGCATGGAATAGAACAATCTGAGGAGTTTGGTTATATTAACATAATGTATGGTTAGAATTATAAACACAAGGATGGTACAATGTTCAGAAATGGAAACTTTTCAAATCAAGCAGTCACACATATTTACAATATGTACAGGCTTTCTAGTGGAGCAGAAAGAATGTCTAGGCAATGTTATTGCAGATTTCCTGAATGTGGGCATCTCTAGTCCCTGTAATTCATAAAGTAAATCTGCTGACTTGGCATTAAGACTAAAATAGTGTGATCAAATATATATTGAAATAGGTTTGCAGAAATAACATTTACAAACTGTACAGTACACGTATGAGGACATAGAAAATAGATTCTAACTTTATGATCCCATTTATGTAAGGCAAGACTGAATGTGTTCCTAGTTTAGTCAGCCAGAGGTACAAGCAAGAAACAGTGGTCCATGAATAAATAAATGAATATGCTCATCAGGTGTCTCAGTATTAAAAATCTGGAGAAACAAATTCCACTTTTGATCTGTGTTACTTCTCGATTGCTGGATACACCTATATTTCTTGAAACACTAACATTGTTGGGATGGCAGGTTTTTCCCAAGTAACAGCTACCCAAACCAGTTTCTGAAGGGTCTAGTGTAAAACCAGAGGACTGCAGCTGCACCAGGCAAATGTGTATAGCACTTAGGAAAATCAAAATGGAAATTAATGCTCTTAATTTCATGCCATTGCTATTGAAGCAACAGCAATACAAAATATACAAGACGGGTCACATGACTGAGGGTAGACTTGAAAAGTTTTGTTTGTGCTATTACACAAAACCATGGAAAAAGCAGAAAAAGGCGAAGGTCATTGGCAGACGTAAACATCCCTATTTGGATTTATGATGGCTCTGC